TTAAGAAACCCTCAAATTTCTGAATATTAAATAAATTGCTAATCAGTTGGTTTGCTTCAACTTATCCGCTTTTTGTCTGACTACTCAAGTCCGAGGTAGATGTAATCATTCCATATGCGATCAAAGATATTTTATAAAGATTATAGAAAAATTATAAATATGTTTTTACAATTACCAAATACTGAACCCAAGACCCTGCATAGGTTCTTGGACCACTGTAGTGGTACAGGACAGATATATACTCGTACATAACACATATGCACGCATAGACAGTATGTATAAACAGAGTTTTTGTTAATTAATCATGCAATAGAGAGCCATGCATAACCCCATTTAAAAATAAAAAAAGCTGCCATTTTTCAAGCTTTCTTTAACTCACTAAATATATATTTATTTCATATAAGAATTTGATGCACTTATACGCATACATTTATTGTAGATTTGCTTTATAATCTACAATAAATTTAATTAAATGTTATACTACGTCTTTATTAATTACAAACTTTAATAAAGTCATGAAATAATACAAAAAAATAATTTGATTTAAAAAAAAAAAAGATTGAATATTACACATATACATTAATAAATTACACTACCCACCCTAAGGAAATGTTTGTATATCTATTTAAAATAGCTCAGTAGATGTCTAGGGAAGTTGACACATAGAAATATGTAAATTAATGTAGTAGGATAAGTGCCTACTAATCGTCTTAACAACCTCAAGCTTCTGTTACGTGTTGAACGACCTGCACCGAACCATGATATGCCATACAATTTGCTTGCCACAAGCTTCTATTAGATGATGACCAGCACCAAAGCATGATATGCCACACAATTTACTGGCCATAAGCGGTAATGTAAAGTGGAAGGCAACCGACTGCTACGCCAATTTCAAATATTTGTTGTAAATGTCGAATTCTCTCTGACAATCTACTCAGATGTTAAAGTAGTATTATAAATAATATCCCATAGGATGGATACAGTTATTTCTGGAGTAAGTTTTTTTAAAAATGTTTTTAGTTTTTCATGTATTGACAACTAACACAATGATTTGAAACAGAACCAACTAAAAATTTATTCACTTTATGTTTAGGTATCATTGAGTAATTTGTAGCATCAAACTTAAGAATCAGTAAAGTCGTGCATTCTAAAAATCATTACATACCTTTTAATAGAAAGATTAAACACATTTTATACAATAACTTGACAATGTTTTAAACTATAATTGTTTCAAAACATTAACAGGATCTCACTGAATAATTTGAGGAATTAAACTTAGAAATAGGTTCAGCCGTTCCGTAAGATTTCGTCATGTTCTACCTAAAAGTGATCAATCTAAACACATTAGCATGCTTCTGTCATAGCTGAAGTAGAGAAAAAATAAAAAACTCATTAATACTATATAAAGAAGCAACGAAAGATATATGTGGACAAAGATCATTTAATACGAAATTTGACACCGCATCTTTACCATAAAAAAAACAAAAACTGTACCACTACAACCCATGAAGGGTCTTGGGTTCAGTACTATTACAAGGCCAACGGTTGTGAAGAGAGGAGATCGAGTCAGGATCACACTCAACCGCCAGGTTTTTTCCCTTAATTAATTATTTAATTAAGAGTATCCACTTTGTAGAGACTGGGTGTGCCCCAGGAGGGCCTCCCTACCCCAGGGTCGCCCCACGGCCAATGAAACAGAATAAATAATTTTTCTGTCATTAGCCGGGATTCGAACCTGGAACCTTGAGCATTGGAAGCTTAGTGCCCTACCACTCAGCTACCCCACTCCCTTCCTTTACCATAAATTAATCTAAATTTGTGAACATAGACGGAATAGAAACTCGTACACAGCTTTAAATCATTTGATCTCAATCGGTCATCATCTTCATTATAGAAAATTATTGTTAAGAAATATTGAGTTTTCCTAAAAGCGTCATTTACTTGCTTTGCATGTGTGCCAATTTTTCAAAATTCATATAATTTCTCTTTTCGTTAATCTATTAATGCCATTTTTAACTCATTCGGAACTGTTTTCACATCTATATTGTTGGAATATTGATTTATTATTAAAATGAAAAAATTGAATCAGAGAGGCAACCCAATCAAAAATAATTTTTATTGAAATATATTTTTGTTGTTTAGAAAAACATTAATGAAATTAAAAACTTTTTAAAAAGTAAGCAAATAAAAATCTTCAAACAAATTAACAGCTTTATAAAAAAAAAGGAATAATATTTAGATTAATTAATTTCAACTTTGGCCTAAATAATATGTATCGTGTCACTCACAGGAGTCTATACAGCCTGTAGCCAGCAGATAAATCTACCATTGAATTTTAGATTATTTGTTTATTAATCTGCTACCAAAGCAAACTCACGCATCGCTACACTATTAACGTTTTTAATGTTTTTTTTTTGCAACTTTATTAACTATTATCACATGTGATACCTTAAGCTAACAAGATGTACCACTACAATAAGAGACAGTGAAGAAAAACGTTATAAAAATAAGGTATGTTTTTTTTTTTACCATAAATAAATAATTTATATCCCGCTTCTGATCCATCAATCGATTTACTCCAAATAGCCTAAGCCTAATCTCTCCGAAACTTGCCCCACCGACAGGTTCAGTTTCTTCCTCGTGGTGACTTGGTGGCTAATTGATCCGCTTTGTTGTTACCTGTGATACCAGAATAACCCTGAATCCATTGGATAGTGACTTCATTGTGCAAAGTAGTTTTAAGATTGCTTAAAAAAGAACTTAAAATGACTTGATTCAAACAAGTAGTTCAAATTAATAAGCACGGCGTAAAACAATATAAGGAAAATGTAATTGGTACCAATGTTACAAACGAAAAAAAAAAAAAATTTTAAGTTAGAAATTGGAAATTTGAAAAGATGATATAATTTTTTTTCTACACATTATTTATTGAGCAATGATCTATATAAAGAAAAAAAAAAAATTAAAATGAGGGTTAAACTGAAAAATTTGAGGTGACAATGACAATATGTAATTTAAAAACATGTTTTACAAAATACAACAAATAATTCATATAAATAAATAATACTACATAACAATATATATAAGAATCGCACAACATTTTATTTAATCAAATGTTAATATATTTGTCAGCAAATAAATTTATCATTTTGGCCGATTTTTTTTTTCTTTCTTTGTTTTTTGTTTGCTTTTAACCCTCCAGCATTGATAATCTATCAGAATAATCTGGCCTCACATTAATTATTTTAAATTCTTTTAATTGATTACAATTTCAGAATGTTTTCTTGTCAACTGTTATTAATTTCTTGTTATAATACTTGTTGTATCAGATAAGTTATGGTTATTGTGTTTCCTGGTAAAATTATGTTAAAAATTAAAATAAAACAAATTCAGCTTTGGATTATTTCGATCTTAATTTTTTATATTGATTGTCAGTATTCCAGAACAATTAATAACCCGACAAAGTGTCAAGTCTCATATTTGTCAATTTGGACAGCAATACAAAAAAAGTGTTGACGAATAGGTCTGGTTAAAAAAAAAACATTTTAGAAGAATTACGAGAAATTTAAACCTTTGCGAGTTTTATCCAGTGATAAGAAGAAAATTCTGAATCAATACAAAAAAATTATTATTAGAGAATACAAGTTTTACATAAACATTTAATTTATACATAATTAACTTGAGCCCTTACAAATATCAATGTGAATTCATTAAAAAAGCGTTATAAGTTAGCTCAATATCTTAGGAAAAGTTTAATTTTAAAGTTTTAGTAAAGGAATAAAAGTTAACTTTTTTGGGCAAAATGGACAAGGGGGTGGCGGCGTTGAGATATTCCAAATTAAAATTATAAATATGAATGAATTAAAGTTCCTCAATTCATAAATATATACAATTACCTATTGTAAAATAATGAATGAAGATAATGAAAATTAACCTTAATGATTTGATAATTACCGTTTAACCACTCACAAATTCTTAATAGAAATCAAAATTTATATTAGGTTCTGTAATTATAAACCCGACAGCAAATAAATTGTATGGATTTTTCAGATATCTGCATATGCTATAGTTAAATGTATATTTTTGTACTGGAGGGTTAAAAAAAGAAAAGATAAACACCCTAATAATGAAAGTACCAAATTAAAAATTTATGTACAATGGGGCCAGAATAGCAATTAATTCATAATTTGTTATATTTAAAAGTTTTGTAAATATTCAACGGAATTATATGGATTCGATTAAATCTTTATAAATTCATTAGTTACGACTAGAAAATTCATTCCATGATGTAAATTTAAATATTAATTTAGAATTAAAACTTATTTTATCTAACTCAACAGAGAGGCAACCATCATACATTACATGAATTATTATATATTAATAATCAGTAACAAAAAAGACTATTTACAGCTTCAATCTAATCTACACCAAGATAACTAACTGTTATAACACCAAGATAACTAACTGTACATTAAAAAACAGTTATCTATAAAAAGTTGGTAACTAAGACAAGCGGTTCCACAAATCAATAACAGTTCATATAAAGGCATCTAGCACCACTTCCAATGTTTTTAGTCATTTTTAATGACCGCTAGGTACAATATATACAATTGGAAATTCGTTGCAACTGATTGTTTATAATGGCTACAAGAGTCGGAGACAACTCACAGTGAATATTATGCCTCTCAACTCAATCACCAAAGCAGTTATCCCAATTAGATCATGCTATTGCAAAACTAAATACAAATTTACAAATATAAAATGTTATAATATCATTAATACATTTTTTTTTATTATAGCTGAAAGTTAATAATGAACTCCAATAATAAAGGAGGGATGTGCGTATATAATAATTGACCTTTCTTCTAATATAACAGTAAAATAAAAGAGAAAAAATGTCAACAACATAAGAGGAAGGAATCGGAAAAGGCTATAGCCAGCGGAGGCAGCACGTTTAAAGGGTTCGTGGTGGTAATCACCTGTCACTTAGAGCTAATCACCTTGCCAGTGTCGTTGAGTCCAGAATACTTTGGCTTCCCGTGCGTGAATGGCAGGTAGCGATATTTAATCATATGCTGCAAGAAAAAGAAAAAAAATAATTAGAACAAAAAAAAAAAATCAAATGAGATGTATATCATAGGCGCAGACTTTCAATTTCGATAGGAGGGGTGATGAGAAAAAAAAAAAAAAAAAAATAGTGGAAGTTGTAAAAATTCAACATAATTATTATGAAACGAACAAATATAATACTGAATATTTAAAATTAATTTGTTTATATGTTTGAATGATTGTAAGGACTTTTATTTATTTTCTTTTACTTGTCTTATATACTTGTGAATATCAAAATATCTTTATTTATTTATTTATTTTTATTTTTTCTAATCTCCCAAAACGTTTATTTAATAAATTACATATAGTAGTATAACAATACTAATATATACATATAATAAAGTCCTTCCACTGCCCGAGGGCATTTTAAGGAGAAAATATCAAAATAAAAATACAATTGAATATATAACGTATTTTTGTATATTAAACATCGTGGAGAGGAGATAGCCTTCGTGATATTCGCACATTTCTAGAACTTTTTCAGCAGAAAATGAATAGTGTAAAAAAGTTAAAAATATCTTCGATTTCTTAGTGTGTATACGACTCCAAATAAACTTTCAAATTTCACAGCCCGACTAGTTTATCGCAGAAACTGTGAAAGTTGAAGGGGTGACTAATCATAAAAAATCCTCGGATATGTTGATGTATAAAAAATTATAAGAATGTTTACCTTATATTTTTTTTACATTATTTCTTTTTTTCGATTGATTTTATTTTGGCCAGATGTGATCTTTTAATTTTGTTCTATTTTGTTATTCTCAAGGGACTGTGTCCCAGAATAAAATTATTTTTCTATCTATTCTATCTATCTATTCTATATTATTATCTTTGAATATAAATGACAATTTAAATAAAAGAAACATTTAGGTATCGATAAAATAGTTACATACTTACTACTAGGTCCTTGCCTAGCCAACTCGTCGACTTTGTTTAATAAATTTTAATTTATACATTTTTTTTCATTCATGTAGTAGCTTATTTACTATTGATTTTAATTTCTTTTCGCTCAAATTACTGGGGAGGGGAGGAGAGAGAAATGATATTCTCGCCCATTCAACATTTTTAATGGGAGGGGCAATCGCCCCCTCCTCCCAAAGGTCTGCGTCTATGATATCTACTAATAAAAAGGGATAATCCCAAATTATAAAATTTGGCAAAGAAATAAAAAAACCATGGTAATGGAGAATGAAATTTAATAGAATTTTTTTGTCACCTGAAGGGAAATTTTCTATTATTTTTATCGCTCATGCTCATAAAAAATAAAATAAAAACTTAAATGAATACGCGTCTCCAATATTTACTGACATAAATACCAGGAGCATGGGAAATATATATCAATACCTACCACATTCTCTATTGTTTCACATTAATTTACTTTTATCAGCCTGATCTTTTTTACATTTATTGTCTATATAATTTTTTTTTTTTTTTTAATTTGAGATTAGTATAGCATCGTTTACACTTGATGTTAATCTATTATTAATCATCTTTTATCGATTCAGTCTTTCATTTTCTTAAGAAATAAGTTTATGGGAACTAGAAATTTTTATAATTGTGGAGGGTCAGATACAATGTAAACAATACTAAACTAACCTAAAATGTATTCAGTAAAGGACAAGCAGATATTCAAATGAACTTCGTATTTCTGTTAGAAACCATTTGAGAAACCATCTGTTAGAAACTTCTATTAATTAAACTTTTTTACTATAAACGACATGAATAATGCCTCCTTCAAATATTTACCTCAGTAATGGAATACCCAGTATAATAATATAATATACATAAACTACGGCAAACGAAAAATAAGTAATTACAAAATCATTTAATTGATTAAATATAAAAATTAAAAACAAAACAAGTAAAAAACAAAACAAAATTTAATTCAAAATTTGTTAATTTAATTTGTTTAACGGAAAGAACAAAAATTATTTAAAGAGGATGTTTTAACTTACTTCGCTGGTAACTATTAAAAATGTAAAAACAAATAAAACAGAAAGAACGCATTTTAGTTTAAAATTTTCTAAAAGCAACATAAGCATGTTAAAAAAAATTAAACATACACTTAAGATGAATTTCTAGAACATTTAGTTGAGTTGTAACAACATTAGACTTTTATCAATTTCTAGAATTACATACTTTTATTTTATATTCTGTCTGGAATTTAATATTTATTTCATTTTAAATACTTCCACTATTTTTCTTTCTTTTGTACAATTAACGAAATCATTAGTATTTAACAGAAAGATGTTTTGTTTTAATTCTATTTCAGTTCACAGATTGTAAACTTAAAATCTGTATATCAAAGAAAATGAAGTTGAACTGAAGGAAAAGGTTTAATTGTGAGAAAGTTAAAAAAATTCTGAAGTATTTATAACATACATTTTGAAGTAAATTCCATTTAATTCAGTTGGGATTCAATTTCATTTAGTCTGGATTAGGGGAATTTCAAAAAATCCTTGTTATTATAAATAACTTACCTTGATCTGTTTCTTCATCGTAAGGCAGAAGAGTGTGATAAAATACATAACCAATATCGGCCAGAAAACTGGAATATTGAAGAATTCAAAAAATGTGCAGATAAATGCTATCAGCGTTGATTTAGTAACCGAATACCAAAATTTGAACTCCGGTAACCGGCGTACGAATGGTCGAAATTCTTCATTAGCTCTCGTAGGTAGTTCAGGTCCGCCATCCTCTGTAAAATAAAAACTCCATTTAGATAACAATTGAATAAATATTGATATTAAAATTTTTACATTTAATGAAAATCATACCTTCCAGCAGCGAGATGGCAGGATCTATCTTAGGTGTAAGGAATGCGATGAATAGATTTAAATGATAAATGCCAAGGGCATAAGTAACAATATACCATCCCTAAAAAAAAAAGTTTAAAATATTACTGTTTTGATTTTGTATTATATAATATCAATACCTAAAAGTAGTTAATTAACAAAATTAACTGAAGAGAAGTTGGATGGAGTGTTCAGTCAAACAAATATTAATGTAAAAATGTGTTTCACTGTTAATATAAAGTGGCACTTCCGGTTAGACGATTTTTAAGAAAAGTTGCTGTAACATACAAGGTATATACAAACCTTAAATATGAAATTTCACTTTCGTATGACTTTTCATTTTCGAGTTAGACTGTTCACAAACATACACACATAGACCATTTTGCGGGACTTGGTTACTTGGACTCAGGAGACCTCAAAACATGTATTTATGTATGTATCACAATACTGTCCCTTACTAGATATTTCATATATAGGTAAGTGAAACTAAGAATAAATAAATTATATTTATTTTTTCCCACATTTTGGCTCAGGTTTCAGGGCTAAGAAAAGAAAAGATAATATAAAAATGAGAAACTAGAAGGCAGTTAAGGTAGCATAATATGTATTTAAAAGGTTACGGTCAAATAACATATAACTACTTTATCTTATTTTATAAATTCCTATGTTCCATCAGTCTTTAACTCTTTGCTAATAACTATTTTCTATTCTCAACTCCCTTACCATTATTTTATACTTCCTTTATTTGTATATAATATTTATCCCTTTACACGTATTTAATAATGTTAAGTTTACTCTACCTAAATGTTATTAGAATATTATCCTTTAACTAAATATTATTACTTTTACTGTCTACTAGTTTCTCGTATTTATATTATCTTATCTTTTTTAGCCCTGAAACTTGGGCTGAAATGTCGGGACAGAATAAAAACAAATATAATTTATTTAGTTTTACTTTGTTCTTTGTTTGACTGGACTCTCCAATCAACTTCTCTTCAATATATCTAGGTTAGTAATCATTAATCCATTATCAAAACAAAATTAATATAAATTTATCACAGAGTACTCTTGGATTAGATCAATTTCAATTTTTTTTTTAAATGAATTTATTCTTAAAGGATAAGTAAAACGGCTTTGAATTCAAAAAGTCAAATCATACGATATAATTAAATGTAAAAATTATCAAACAAATCCCATAATTGTTTAAACCAAAAGACTAAGTAAACTGAATGAGAGTAAGTTATTGAATTGATAACAAAAAACTTCTTTAATATTAATAAACAAAAACCTTAACAAAATGAGAAGAAAGAAAGATTTACATAATAACAACAAAGAGGTAGACAATTATAAAATATGATTCATGATGCAATATTTCAACTGATTACTAAAACAACATGGGAACGAGTACATTTAAATTCATGAAGGATTCTGGATTGATAATTAAGAAGTAACTTAATAACTCTCACGATTTTATTTCTGAAAATTCCATGTTTTTGAAATCATATATAATTTTTCTCATGAATCGAAATAGTTTTAAAGAATTATAATTTCAGTATCTTACTTCAAATTATATCGAAACAAAACAAATGGAAAATATACTTAGTCAAATAGAAACTAATTTCCAAGGAAAAGGGATTGGTATAAATTTCAAAATTAAATTTTTTTTTATCTTGGACTGTACTTGTATTATGTCAAATTGTAATATATATCTGAATCGTGTAGCAAAATGCGCAGTAAGAGATATAGTTTCTGATTTTTATAAATATAATTTTTGGGAGTAATCAGTAGTAAGCAGAGTGAATTACTTATCTATTTCTCAACACCAAATTAATGAGACAGACACCAAAAATTTGTAGAAATAATAATTGCTTTGTTTTTGTTTACTCCCCCTAACTATCTAGTTTAAAGTATTCCATATGATCATTCAATGCTATGAAAACTCCTACGGGCCATTTTGAGCTTTATACAACACTCATCCGAACCTTGCTTTTGTATCATTAAGTAGTGACATATTTGTTACCTTCAATAATTTCTCAGGCTTTATTATCACAAAATATTGACAATACTTGTATTCAATAATTCCTTACATTTATTCTTTGTCCATACTTAGTAGTCTAGTACTTATGAATCATAAATATTTGAACTTAAATACTATTGTAGTTGATTGGATGTACAAGAATAAAATATGGGTTCGGACTTAGAAATATAGGTCATTATTTTTTTGAATTCATCAAATACACATTAAACAAGGAATAATTATATAATGTTAAAGTGACATATACTGCAACTTACATAAAAAACAACTTAATAACAATACTAATCATTTTAAATTTCTTTAATTTGTAATAAATGTTTGTAAAAAGAAATGAAAAACTTGGCATTTGATGTAAATCCAAACATTAAGAATGGTGTAATATACATTATTAAATTATGTGCAAAACTGTTACTTTAATTAAAATACGACTGATAATTTTGTAAATATTAATCTTCCTTCCTTACAAATTACCTTAATTTTAACCTTTGTTAACTATTTCATAAGGGATATATACATACGAGTATTGGAATAAATTTCTTTTAAAAACTACTCACTTTTTTACTAGATTATCTTATTAAATTAAATTTGCAAAATTCACAATAAGATTCAGAACATACACTGAAACAATTCTAAAAATTATTTATTTAGTTCTAATTCAATAAAACAAAGTTTATGATATCAAATCATACAGAAATTAAAATGTGGATATAACAGTGAAACGTTAGGATATGAATGAACAGAAATCATTACAGTTACGTAACAATTTAAGTATTTCAAGTTCGTATCATATAATATGATATTTCATAGTATAATTAGTCCAATAATAGACCAAGAAGCTTTATTTTGCAAAAAAATGTATATATTGCTTTAAAAATAAAGTTACAACACTCAAAAATTTGTATATGTGAACAAATTAAATCTAATATTGTTTAAAAAGATATATTTTACAATTTCTACAAAAAATCGTTATTAGAAGCATGATATAGCAACTTAATACCACAGGGTCAATTGCAACCTCAATGATTAACATCAATAACAATAGATTTACATAATCAAGGTTGAATCTCAATAGCACAGATATTACAATATAATAAATGAAAAAGATAAAACATGGAAACTAAAGCGGTGATAAAAATAAAATAATTACCTGGAGAAGAAACACACGAGCTAAAAACGCTAATGTTAACAATCCCGCACCAACCCATCTTCCAATCGTAAATGGTGTGATATCATCTAAATATTTTTGGTACCTCTGTAACACGCACAAATAATTAAACAAATCACAGAAAAATGTTAAGTTGAACTTACTTAACAAAACTTGACACTAACTTGTTCTATAAATGTTCTAGTGTGAGATACATAATTTGTTGAAACTGGCTCGGCATCAATATCCTGCATCATTCCCAGTTAACAACACCTATAATACAAAAGTGGATTAATTAGAACACAGGAACTAAAAATTTAAAAGACACCATCTAATATGAAAAACAAGTTGATGACTTTCATAGAAAGATGATAAACAAATCGTTAAAACGTAAGTCTCTCTAAGTATCTATCTTCAAATATTCGAATTCTTTCTAGTTTAAATTGAAGATACACACTAATACAAATGAAACCGAAACTTATATTCGCAGTGGCGATAGCAAGAAAATAAATATTTGAATTACAGGTACTAGGAATTAGGATAACCTGAGTTGTTCAGACTTCTGGCTGGAAGAATGAGCGTCAAACGAACGAAGATCTATAAACGTTAAAAAAATAACTTAAAACAGAATACACACCTATATTCTGTTAACAGTTTATCACACTATCATCATTTTGTACAATTATTATTGTTGATTCCACGTAGTCTCCAAAGACTCATAAATGTGACGTCATATACGAGTCAATGCCTTTAAGTCTTGAATGAATCTAGTCAAATTATTTTAATTCCAGTTCTGGCTTAAACTAACCTCTGAATTGAATTAAATAAAATTAACCTACATTTAAACAATGAGAAACTAACTGTTCGGAAGGATTTTTTTTGTTTATTTTATTTGAATTAAGGAGGTTTCAATTTTGTTAACCTCTCTAGGGTTATACATTTGATGTTCGATAGTAAACAAGTTTGGTTGCAGCATTGTTTAAAAATTCTGTTTAATTTTTATCATAACAGTAAATAACGATGGATGAAGTGAAAAAACTTGAGCACCTTTCATTGGTGTCGAAAATATGTACAGAACTTGAAAATCATTTAGGATTAAATGACAAAGATTTAGGTATGGTTTTATTCCAGTCTATTATATTTGTATACTATTTCCTTGATTAACATAAGTTAGGATATAAGAAGTAATTTCATTATTTATCGTTATTTTAAAAAGCATTCATAATTTATAATAAAACTTGTCAATCCATAAGTGAAAGTGTTAACCAGAAGTATTAGTGATGCCAGTTTATAAAAATTGAATTACTGATCAATTCCTTAACTTCAGCCTCCTTAACTCTATAAAATTTAATTGTAAAGTGCAGATCTTCCAAAGTAAATATTGTGAAGTAGTTCTTAGTCCCAATGTTTAATTTTAACTCAATTCATTATATCATGTTCGTGGAAGTGTGTTTTTTAAACGCTCCTTAAGCTCTCCAGATAACTAAACCAAAAAGGTGATGTATTAGTTCATTTTCAAATAATTTAATCAATGTTGGTGACTTCTGTATAATCTAATAATGTCATTCTGAATTCTTACATAATTATTATACTGCTTGGCACCTCAGTTTAATGAAAGTCATTTAAACTAGTGTTGCTTTTAAAAATAATTAAATAACATCAGTTCATTTGATTTTTAAGTACTTCTACTTCACATGTTTCACTCCAATAGAGTGACTATGCACAGAATCACATTGTAAATAGAATTCAGATTCTATAAGTAGTTAAGTTTTTCAAAAAGTAGAGGTGACCAAACTATTTGAGATATATATTTTATGAATTTTCCTCTTCTTCTTTGGGCTATGGTTTCTTTTATTGGTTGCTTGCTTATACTAAAATATTAAAAGAAGATGTGATGAAAATAACTGTTTCTTAAGAATAAAATAATTTATTTATATATTACGGCTGTTATCTTTCAAAATTATAATTGATTAAACTTACTGTGTACAATTGTGGGAATTCTTTTGATTCAAGTAGTAAACTTAAGATGGGCTTAAGTATGATGTGATGAAATATGAAACCATTTCAGATGATAGAAAATTTTGGTTTTTAAAAAATTATTTTTATTTTTTACATTAATTCAATTTATTTGCATTGTTTATAAAGAATATTATATTTTATAAATTTTTATTTATTTGATTTTTTTTTTAGCTGAATTTATCATTGATTTGGCGTCAAAGAATAATACTTTTGAAAGCTTCAAGAAAGCCTTACTTGATAATGATGCAGAGTTTTCTGTAAGTATACTTAAAAATTAATAAATTTTGATTAAACCATAAATTTGAAAAAGTATAAATTATTAATTTATCTTTTATGTTCAGGATTCCTTCATTTCGAACTTGCTGAGGATCATCCAGCATATGCGACCTAAGAGCGAGCTAACCGTAACGAAAGACATGACTAAACAAGAAAAACTGAGCATGAAATTTCCAGGACTAGCTATCCCCAATGATGTGCAGCCGATGAAGAGCCATAATGAGAAAAAGTTGAATTTGTCTACGATTAAGGAAGACCCTGAAGACAATGAAGTCGAAGATGCGATGGCAGCTCTTGAAGCTTTAGCTCCTTCTAAAGAGTAAGAAAAATCTTATTTCATTCTCTTATACTCTAATGTAGAAAAAAGAATCATAAATATAATTATAATAATAATAATAAGGCTTAGTGAACCCGAAGCTTCAATGCCGATACCACCAATCGATCTCCACATTCTTCCATCCACTGGACTCTGTCTAAACCCAACCTGCCAGATCAACCTTGAACCTTCACCCCAACCTTCACTTTGGTTTATCCCTCGGAAATCTTTTAGGAATTCTTTCGTTACTAAGCCCAGTGATGCCCATTTTATTCGCCTTAACTTAATCATCTCGATTATATTAACCGGATACATTTCTTGCAATTCAGCGTTGTATAACTGCCTAAAAATATAACTATAAAAATAATTAGAATTTTAAATAAACCTTGTAATTAAACAGTAAAAAATGGCCATACCTCATTTTATACAATAAGTTATTAATAGTCGTAATCTTTCTTATCTGAAAGATGGAAAAATCATTTTAGAATTATAAATTTATTTCATCAGAATGCTACATAATGATTTTTTCTGAAGCATATATAATCTGTTCTTGCAGTTTTTTTTCTAATTGTCACATTGAAAAAGTTTATTGAGGTATTTAGATATTCATGTATTTTTAAAATAAGCCATTGAACCTGGATACCATTAATCTAAAGGTTACAAAGCTATTTATGTAATCTTTGATCTATTAGTTTATATTCATAAAATTCAAAGCAACTCCCTTGAATAACCATTGGCCAAAAGTTCATGGCTGTCCTCTTGACCTTCTTCCTATCAGTCTTACCTCGATGGTTTTGATTGGGTTTCTGTGATGGTCCATGCGGCAGATATGTCCATATTCCAAATAACAAATGCTAAAATGTACATTTTACTGCCAATTTCCTTTTAATCTAGATTTTCATTGTTCTTGATAGAGTATGACACCATCTAGCTTGGATTAGTGCATATATTGCATATCTCTACCAATTTCTGAACCCAAGATTGTTTAACACGTTAGCTGCGGTTACAGCCCCGTCGTCTTATCAGATACAATGATTATTTACGTTTCTATCTATCTTTACATCTATCCAACTCCCATATATATTTCTAAAAATTACCAGTTTAGAGACTTTGTAAGATAAGCAAAATTCGAAACAATCCTGGCCAAAGTCGAGACGAATATCGGAACCTGGGGACCGTAACTGCAGCTAACGTGCTAATGATTGTCATGGTACATTTTTATTTTTTATTTCATAATTTCATTCTATTACAATATAAACTCAGTTATCAAACAACTTATTTATTATTATATCATATTCAATTTGATTGATGTGCATGATTGATGGTATAATTATCAATAACCAAAAATGTTATTCTTTTCAGAATGAAATTCAATTACAAGACTGAAAGAGCATCCAAGTCTCCAGAAAAAATTATTAAACAAGAATTGGAGAAGCCCAGAAAACGTAGTCGCAGCCGTAGTAGAAATAGAGACAAAAAGAGAAATAGAAGTAGGAGTAGAAGTAGAGGAAGAGGAAGAAGTAAAGAGAAGACATCCAGTAAAAGCAGGCAGAGAAGTGTGAGTCGAGGGAGAAGAAGAAGAAGTAGAGACAGAAGTTCTAGTCGAAATAGAAATCATGTAAAGAACAGGGATAGAGAAAGGAGAGACAAAAATGATCGTAGGAGTAGAAGCAGGAGCAATGGTAGAAAGAGGAATGAAAGAAGTCGGAGCAGGAGCACTGGTAGGAGAAGAAATGACAGAAGTCGGAGCAGGAGCTATGACAGAAAGAAAAATGACAGGAAAAGAGAAAATGAAGATGAGTAAGTGATCCAATTTATACTTATTTATATCTGTTTTTTTTTTTATTTATATCTATTTATTATATTATTAATGGTCCATCATTGACTTAGCAATCTCATGTTACTATGAAATTTATTAATATTATTTATTTTGACACTTTACCTGATTTTATTTATTTATTTTTTTTTTAGGAAGAATAAGAATGATGAACCTCTTGAACCCGAAGTTGGTAAAATATATAATGGAAAAGTTACCAATATCGTTTCTTTTGGTTGTTTTGTTCAAATCGAGGGTTTAAAGAGACGTTGGGAAGGACTCGTTCATATATCGCAGCTGAGAAGGGAAGGAAGAGTTACGAGTGCTTCTGATGTCGTTTCTCGTGGAATGAAAGTCATGGTAAAGAAATAGCAATTTAATTTTTAAATAGCTTTTTGAAGTGAAAACTTCTTTTGGCACATTTTGTACTGTTTTTGTGGAGAGTAGATTAGATTAAGCCTTCAGATATCCGATGTTTAACACTCAGTTAAAGTTGGCTGGAGTGGACTAATTGAAGTGTTTTTGCATATGGATTAAATTATCTCAAAAACTAAAAATCGGACCTACATATTGTTAGCAAGGGAAATGTTCATCATTTCATCCTCTTTGTAATGAGCTATTATTCAAAATTGTATCTTAATGCGACGCTGTGTTAGAGAGGCAAAAACGGAAAAAATAGTGTCGAAAACTAAATGATAACGAGTTTTGTTGAAGATATGGATTAAAATATTTCAGAAACTAAAAATTGGACCTGCATGCTGTAAGCGAGGAAATTGTTTAGCATTTCATTCTCTCTGTAATGGGCTATTATTTATAATTTATATTTCATATTATTAATCTTGGCTTGTTGATGTTTTCACTTTGTGGTCTAAATGGCAACCTTAGTTGTTTTTTTTTTGTTATTTTTATATCGTTTTATTGCAAAAAATCATTGAATGGCATTTTATAATCTCAAATCATTGTAAACTTTGATGAATTTTCTCTGTATGGAAACAGAACATTGTGTACTTGTTGTAACTATATTTGGTATATAAAAGAGTTTGTGTCATTTTGGTATTCTTACTATGTTTTTATCAATAAATAAGCATGTACTTCATAGAAGCGGTTGAGCGTGATCCTGGCCCGATCCCCTCTCTGCACAATCGTTGGCCTTGAAACAGTAGTTTCCCTAAATAGTACTGAACCCAAGACCCTTCATGGGTTGTAGTGATAGTGGTTCTTTATGTTGTTGCTCATGTTCCTAATTTAAAGAATTACATTGGTTATTTATTATAGTTTGTTTATTACTAATTATTTTTATTTACACAGATCAAAGTATTGTCGGTCGCTGGGCAAAAGGTGTCTCTGTCTATGAAGGATGTTGATCAGGAAACGGGAAAAGATCTTAATCCAACTGTTCGTCATGCCGCCAATAAGGATAGGTAACTTAAATAACTTTATTTATATAAATATATTTTTATTTTGTAAGAACTTCCTAACTATAGTATTTTACTAATAATTTATTGACATTGAGAAACTCGTTACAACACTGATTAGAGAGGCAGAGTAGATCAGCCCACAAGTAAATGAAGACAAAACAAAATGTATGATAATAAGCCGAACTTTCCACCCCAATAACAGAATCTACATAGAAGGAAAATCATTCCTGAGAGTAGAAAAATTCAAATAACTCGGCTCTGCAATAACCTCAATGAATGACCAACGGGCAGAAATAGACCAGCGTATAACTAGTGCAAACAGAGCTTTCTTCTCCCTCTCAAAGGTATTGAAATTCTGAAAAATCTCAAGTAATTCTCAAACTAAGGGTGTACAATGCTATGATAAACCCAGTACTAATATGTCTGTGAGACCTGGACACTAACCAGCACCCTTGAAAAAAGTGTTGAAAGATTTGGAAGGAAAATCCTCTGCACGATAACCGGAGCAATCTAGGATCAGAGTACTAACACATGGAGAAGAACTGCTTACAGAAACTGGTCAATCAATATCCTATGATATGAAGGCACGGAGGTTAAGATGGGCAGGGCATGTAGCTCGTAGCAATCCACCTGGAAGCCTCTACGTAACAATGAATGCCTCAATAGAAGGCAAAAGACCACGTGGAAGGCCTAAAAGCAGGTGGATAGATAGAATCAACAAAGATGCAACAGAGCTACGTGCAGATAACTGGAAAGAAATAGGCAAACATGAACCAGGCTTGTTAAGGCGGCTAAAGATCTACATGTTTGTATTGCCAACAGAAAAATAAAGTAATAATCTATTAAATAGCTTATGAAGATTTTAATAATAACCTATTTTGTTATAGTTTGATGTCACAAAAAGTTACTATTAGCGTACAATTTGTTTTTTTTTTTTTATGTTATTCATTCCATGAAATTACTAAATTATTCTTGCACATATTATAGAGAAGAAGAAGCTTCGATGCGAAACCCTGACCGCCCGACGACGCTTCTAGACTTAGGCTCCTTCGATGATCATGACGACTTTCAGAGCAGAAAAAGGGTTAATAGGATATCTTCACCCGAGAAATGGGAGATCAAGCAGGTATTTTTATTAAATTCATTAATTTATTTATTAAATATATTTGGATTAGTGTATTATTCAAAAATTCTAATACAAAGCCTCATATATTAAATAACTAATCAATCAACAATTGACCAATTCAGGCACCACAGGGCTGAAAAACATAAGATCACCTTAAATGCACACCTCACTCCAACAGTCTGAAATTTCATCACTTCCCATTTCCATTTATGACTTTATATGTTAGATATTAATTTTTTCAAATTCTTTAGCTTTCCAGTGATATATTATACATATATATTACCACTCTTGTTCAAGAACTTTGTTTTCAACATGCGATAACTTGTCTTCCATTTTGTATTATTACTGCTGATAAAAAAGATTTAATTATTTCTAATAAACAAACTTAACTTTAGAAGAACTCAAAACTGTTGGTTATAGAAAGAATAAAAAATATATTAAATTTGATTTGACAAACATCTACTTAGTGTTAGATTAATATGAGACAACTTTAAACATAATAGATTAATAAATAATAAGAAAAAAATTTGTAATATTGTGTGCAACGTTCTCAGTAATATAGATAAAAAAAAAACATTCAACAATAATTTTTAGCAGCTTTTAGAAATAAGTGATAAAATCCATAATCATTAAATTGATAAAGAATGTTTAAAAAAAAATAATATGAAGACTTCATAAATCCCTGCATTTTGTAACTTAAAAATAGTTCTAGTTTTTGTCAATTTATTTACTTTGATTTTTTAATAGTATTATGAAATTATTTATGATTAACCAATAAAGAACCTGATAATCTTTGTTTTTTATAGATGTTATCTGCAAGTTGCATTGATAAAAGTGAGCTTCCTGATTTCGATGAAGAGACCGGATTGCTTCCTAAAGAGGCTGCCGAGGAAGAAGATATAGAAATAGAAATCGTCGAAGAGGAACCTCCTTTTCTACAAGGACACGGAAGAAATTTACACGATCTTAGTCCTGTAAGTTATAATTTTGTCAAAAGAAAGAACAATGTTATAAAAAATCTATCAAAGTTTAATTTCTAATTTAAGATCAGACTGTTACGATTTTTCGGTTCTTATTAATTGACTCAGAAAAAAACTCAGTTGTAGCGATTTTATAATTTATATTTATTTTTTAAATTGTTCTATACAGTTGTTAAAATATTTTCATTTATTTCACCAAACATAAATAAATGTCCGAATTCATGACATGGTATGTATATCAGGTAAAAGGCACACTTATTATGTACCCGAATTTTAGACTTAATTCCTTTATGTTATCATAACCTTGTAAATTATGAAACATAGGAAAATAAAAACAACATAATTATAAACAATAAACAAATTATTTATTAGGCTGGGGGGAGGGAGGAAAAACATTACACACTCTTAACAATTCTTAATTTTCAACACTATTTACAGACAAAATTAATTAATATATATTTTTATGAGATATTTTGATACTTAATCCATCTTTACTGCTTGTTATATCTACTAAATTATGGTGTGTTGGCCTGAAGTGACATAATAATAAAGATATTACTTTAGCAAAACATTATGGGCTATTCTCGTTAATTCACTTTGTATTAGCGATAAGATGATGCTGAACTGAAGTAAAAAGTTTTTTTTTGTATAATCACATTATGAAATATGTATAGTTTTTTATTTATGTTAATAAATTCCTCATATTTAGGATTACTAAATATATGTTAAAAGTTCTAAAATGTTCGATATACTTATCCTTATGATACCATTTATACATTTCAGGTTAGGATCGTGAAAAACCCTGATGGTTCTCTAGCTCAGGCAGCCATGATGCAGAGCGCCCTCGCGAAGGAGAGACGGGAACAGAAAATGTTGAACAGAGAACAAGAAATGGACCAAGTGCCGACGGGCTTAAATAAAAATTGGATCGATCCACTTCCTGAGAGTAAGTAAATTTATACAAGGTTTTTTTTAAAAAATAGAATTTAAATTTGTTAAGGTAAAAACTCCTGTTTCCATTTTTTTTTTTTTTTTTTTTTTTTTTTTTTTACCATTGAGATATTGGATAATGTCACTTTGATTCTATATATCAATTAGAAACATAAAAACTGGAAGATAATACTTAAATTATATATAACTTATAAAAACTTCAAATGTAAATTATTCTTAACTTCTTACGATATTCTATTTATTTTTACTTTCCTACCTATACTAGGTAAGGAAAGTATCGCAATCAGGTCAAATTTCCGACATGCGGTTTTCGACGGATCTATACGTTTCACAGCCCCCTGTGTCCGAAAAACACATTTTTAACCATTGGTCTGTCTGTCTGTGCCAAGATTTTCTCGGGAACTACTGAACAGATTTTGTTGCTTCTTTTTTTATTTTGTAGGGTTTTGAATAATGATGCCTGTGACAGAAATTCGTTGCTCCATGTGCAATAGTTTGCGCGCAATAAATGAAAAACATGTTTTTCTATAGACTGTAGCGCGAAAATGGCTCTAACGATTTTGATGAAACTTTTCTATGATGTTCTAATCATTGTCCTTTCAATTTTCGTATATAGACTAAATTCCCGAAAAACATCAGGAAAAAAAGTTATAAAGAAAAGAAAAATTTCCTCTACTTTTAACAGAAATTATTGTTTGACAATACTAAGCTATAGCAAAAAGTTTTTGATCAGCAATATTAGTGAGTATTGAAACTTTTACATTGATCTATCTTAAGCCGGTTTCATTGCTTTAGTTTATCTAATAAATTGTACTCAAATCTCTTGTTTGATCAAATTTCAGGAAAATAAATCTAGTTCAATTCTTTTTTGTTTCTTCATGAACATATGTAAAGATATAAAAATTTTTCTGAAATAGGTAGGAAAGTCGTGTGAGTGGACACACCAGATTCTTTTTACTTCTGTTAATCATATAAACAGAAAGAGCTTAGTGAGTAAGGCACTGTGCTCTTATTATTGGTTTGAGCATGGCTGTGAATCTGTCACATCAGCTCTAGATCGACGTTGGTGGCGAGAGATGCCACCTCTAACCACCCAGCCTCTATAAAGTGGTTACTCATAATTAAATAATTGCCTAAGGGAGAAAAATCTGGTGATTGAGCATGATCTTGGTGAAATCACCTTCCCTCTCTCCCCTCCCCTAAGACTCTCCATGGTTGGTAATGATACATTTTTCTTTTCTTCTTTTTTTTTCAATTATATAAATATGTCAATGGCTGGGTTTGATAAAAAAAGTTTTATTTTAATTGATGTTATAAATACTAAAAAATAATAAAATAAAAGCCAGACATAATAATGGAGGTCCAGTTCGATATTATAAATTAAAATTGATTTTATCTATTGTTGATTTGATTAATTAGTTTGTTGGCTTTTAGCTTAAGCTGAATGACATTTTTTTTTTCATAAAAAATGTTCGTGATAAATGGCGCATTAGTTGACTTATAAATTCATATTGAAAGAAAGGAGTATTGGTATTCTTAGGTTTTTTATAGTATAGAGTTTATGTTGAGATAAGATTTAGTTGTTTTTTTTTAATTAAATATTTTACTCAATACAAAATAATATGCTTTTTCCTCCATAGGTGATGGTAGAACTTTGGCTGCAAACATGCGTGGAATTGGCCTAACGAACCAAGATCTTCCAGAATGGAAAAAACATGTTATTGGAGGGAAAAAGAGTTCTTTTGGTATGAAGACGAACATGACCCTTTTGGAACAGAGGCAAAGTCTTCCAATTTATAAACTCAAGGAAGAGCTCATCAAGGTATTATAAGTTTAATTTAATTTAAAACATCTCTTTGATTATTCAAACTATATTTTTATTATTAAAGTCTATATTATGATCTGAATCAATAGTTCCTAATGATGATTGTTATTCTCTCTCTTTTTTTTAGGCTGTTACCGATAATCAAATTTTAATCGTTATCGGTGAAACAGGATCAGGAAAGACCACTCAAATGACTCAGTATTTGGCCGAAGCAGGTTTCACGTCCAGAGGAAAAATTGGTTGCACACAACCGAGAAGAGTCGCCGCAATGTCCGTGGCAAAAAGAGTGGCCGAGGAGTTCGGTTGCCGCTTAGGCCAAGAAGTCGGCTACACCATTCGTTTCGAAGATTGTACCAGCCCAGAAACAGTCATCAAGTAAGTCATTTTTTTTAATGACAAAATTTTTTCCATTTATTTTAGAAATTTGTATTTGATATTTTTCTAATTTTTATTATTATTATTATTAGTTATTCTTATTTATTTATTTTTTAGGTACATGACAGATGGTATGTTACTTCGAGAATGCCTCGTAGATTTGGATCTGAAAAGTTATTCTGTTATAATGTTGGATGAAGCCCACGAAAGGACTATACATACTGACGTGCTCTTCGGTAAGTGTTAACATTTTAACTTTTAATAATATGAATATAATAACAAATTTATATTTAAAGTTCTAAGTATAACCACATTTAATTCACGTTTCAGGACTCTTAAAGCAAGCTGTTCAAAAAAGATCTGAACTAAAACTAATTGTTACATCAGCTACCTTAGACGCAGTCAAGTTCTCACAGTATTTCTTCGAAGCACCTATATTCACCATTCCAGGTCGTACATTCCCTGTTGAAGTGCTTTATACAAAGGAACCCGAGACAGATTACTTGGATGCATCACTTATTACCGTAATGCAAATACATCTGAGGGAACCTCCTGGAGATATTTTGTTATTTCTTACAGGTTAGTCATAATAAATTCTTAGATATTCTATCAATCTTAATAAAATACCACATTTGTAAATATGAAATTGGAATTTTTGTCTAGTAAATTTGTCTAGTTATTCGAAATATTGTCCGTTGCTATACATTTTACCCATCCCTCTGGAAATTTATTAAAGCCATGCCAGAAAAACTATTGCTCTTTTGTGGCGAACCGGTCATCAAGCCATTTCAGTACATTTTCATAAGAATTGAAACACTGCTGAGCAAATGTGTGCCCCATCGATGCAATTAAATAGTAGTCTGGCGAGTAAGTCACTTATACTAATATTTCCCAACTGAATACCTCGGTTTTTTTCTTCACTGGTTTTGCTGTGTGTGGTGGTGAATTATCATGAAGCTAAATCAGTTTGTGGTGTCTCTTATGATATTCAGTTAATTTTTTATACTACAATTTATTCAAATCAATCATTTATCATTGATAGAGCCAAGTATTAACAGTTTTGACGAGTTTTAGCAGCTAATAATAGATCACACCGATATTCCATGTTCATCTTTTTTCATATCAAAATCACTATTTTTTAATTGTTTAAACCACTCAAACCATCAGAACAAGTATTCGTTGCGATTCTGCAGCAGTTTTCTTCAAATGATGGTAAAAAAAATAAACTAATGCTGTCTGCAAATTGTTAGTTATAGGTAAAAAACTCAACATGTTCAACACAATTTAAACATCTCTGTTATATGAAATTTATATTTTGTGAGTTGAAAATCTTTGCCAGCTATCAAAGAAACAAAATAGTGACAATAATGTGGTTTAACAGTTACTACATTAACAACTATAGCCATCTAGTGACGAATTCCTATTTCATATTTACATATACCTAGGACTCCAGCTGGACAAACGTCTCACTTGGAATCCTCATACAAGACTGAAACGACAAGAAACTGCTTGACGTTTCCGCTTACTCCAACACTTACTGGACAAACGCTCTAAACTTCCAGTTAATTACAAACGACTCATATACATGACTATAATAAGACCTATTTGGACTTATGGAGTTGAGCTATGGGGCTCCACTAAACCATCAAATTCCTCTTGTATCCAATCTTTACAATCCAAAATCCTTTGTAAAATCCTCAATGCTCCTTACTTTGTCACAAATAAAATCATCCATAAAGACCTCAATGTTCCATATATTTCTGATTTGGGCAAATCCAGATACCTATCCTTCCATAATAAACTTCATAACCATCCAAATCCTCTTGTTTCTAACCTTGCTTTCTCTTTGATTCCTGATAACCCTCCGAGGCATCTAAAAAGAAGATGGCCTCGTGATCTCCTGATGTAGACAAATTATTAGAGTGCTACCAATGGGTAGTTTCTCAACAAGCGTGTTTCATGTGATTATATTCCTCTGTACACATTTACTTGATGTATACATACTAATACAGTTGTAAATATCATAATAAAAGTTTTTAAAAAAATATATATATATATTTACATATCTGGTAAATCACTTTTTTTGGTTTTGTTTAAATTATGTTGGTTGAGTATAGCCACAGAACTTAGTTCTTAATATAATAATATATTTGAACTTGGTATTATAATATATGTATTTTGAATCATAGGTCAGGAAGAGATTGATACAGCCTGTGAAATTTTGTACGAGAGAATGAAATCACTAGGTCCCGATGTTCCAGAGCTTATTATTCTCCCAGTTTATTCTGCACTTCCGAGTGAAATGCAAACTCGAATATTTGAAGCAGCTCCACCTGGATCGAGAAAGGTTTGTGAATTTAAAATTTTTCAGTCGCTCGAAATAATTTGTAAATTGATTGTTATTGCATTAAAAAAAGGTTCCATCCACACTAAAAGGGTCACTTCTAGCGAGCTTGGCAAAAAAACTTCCTTTGTGACATATATTCTCCTTATTTGTCATATATTATTACAAAATTGTAGTAGATGACCTGTACTTACTCTTAAGTGAAATTGAGTGAGGGAATGAGAAGGAATGTAGGATTGTACTATGAATGGGAATCAATTGTGCTGTGGACAAGTTGCTTAGTGAAAAGTATCAGATAGATAAACACTCGATGAAAAAGGTACTGAACAAAGGAAGGAAGAATCTTGGAAAAGTTACAGCAAGTGGCAGCAGCTGGAGAAGAAGCTAGGACGTGAAGACGGAATGACATGACGACATGAGAGAAGTCCACTATATTGAAGTTTAGAAGAAGATCAAGCCTACTGTTATAAAATTTTTAATAGATTCAATTATCACGGTTTGTTAAAAGAAATTATCTTTGTCATCACAGAAGTGGATGTTCTTTTTTATTTAGTTGTGCTATATGCCTCACAACTGAAGAACAACAAACCAGCAGGTGAATCAAATCATTTAAAGTGTATTTGCTCAGTCCATTTCATATATATTCTTGCCACTCAATGTCACAAAAGAATTAGGTTCTCGAATAAAAAAAAAAGTTTATCCTGAGCCGGCATTTTGGTTTTAAAAATTAAATTCATGGGTATATATAACCAAGAACCCTGATAAAACGGAAGGTTATTTACAAAATTGATGTTTCGGTAATATCTTTCTCATCGAATGAACAGTTGTGATGATGAAAAAGGCATTGCTGAAACCTCAACTTTGTTTATGATACCTGGCAAATAAAGTGAATATATGTCACCAATCATGTTTTCTTGGCAAGCACTATATAACTAAAATAAAACTTTCCAACAAAAGAAGAAATAAAAGGGTCACTGTTAGTTTTTAACCTTTATTTTCTTGCTAAGTTAAAACTATTATATTCTTTTGAGTTTCTATGAAAATATGAGAGTGCCTTTCAGATTTTTTGATACTTGTGATTTTGAAGGTTAGTTTTTTCACAGTAACTCTTATTAGTGTAGATATACTCTTAATAATGATTATAATAAATTTTAAAGCCTAGAGATTGTTAAGATAGATGTGTGTAAAAATTTTACTAGTCACATACAGTAGGAATTTATCAGAAATTTCGATAACCAAAAATTGATAGAATCCATATTCAATTAATTAATCAAAATATTTGTCTGTCTTTTTAGGTTGTCATAGCAACAAATATAGCTGAAACATCTCTTACAATTCATGGAATCTTCTATGTCGTCGATCCTGGATTTGTTAAACAGAAAGTCTACAATTCAAAGACAGGAATGGACTCTCTCGTTGTTACACCTATCTCACAGGTTTGTAGTAATAAATTATTATTATTTTTTTAAAGATAATAGACCTGTAAACAAGTATTGATAATTTTTATTATTTATTAGGCACAGGCAAAACAAAGAGCGGGTAGAGCTGGTAGAACAGGACCAGGAAAATGCTATAGGTTATACACAGAACGTGCCTACAGGGACGAAATGTTACCCACTCCGGTACCTGAAATTCAAAGAACTAACTTGGCCACAACTGTAAGTTATTTACATAAATATTTATATAATTAAGTATAATATATTTTCTATTATTTGATAAGTAATTATTATTAGGAATCTACTTTATTTAATCTATATAAATAAAATAAAGATTTTGTCCGTACATTGAATAGAATCAACCCGTTTTATGATATCTTGCCGTTTGATACATTGCAGACACCAAATCCACTTTTAAAAAAATTTTTGTCTGTCTATATGTCCGCATTGCAACGAAATTTTGTCAGGGGTAAGCTCAGCAATGGCTTATTGTAAACTTTTGAAATCTTGACATTATATTAAGGTTTGCTTGATTTAAAACATAGGCTTTAAATGAAAACCAAATATTGAGTAGAACCAAAGTTATGAATTCTTGAACAATTTGTCTAGAGATCTCGGTTAATGTTTATAATAAATGTTAATAATAAACATATGTTTATAGGTTAAATGTCATCTATATAAATAAAGGTTTTGTTTGTACATTGAATAGAATCAATCTGTTTTATGATATTTTTCCATTTCATACATTACAGACACCAAATCCACTTTAAAAAAGATTTTTTTGTCTGTCTGGATGTCTGCATTGTCCAACGAAATTTTGTCAGGGGTAAGCTTGGTAATGGCTAATGGTAGACTTTTGAAATTTTGACATTATATTTTGGTTTTCTTGACTTAAAATATAGGCTTTAAATGAAAACCAAATATTGAGTAGAACCAAAGTTATGAATTCTTGAACAATTTGTCTAGAGATCCCGGTTAGGCAATTACTTCGCTTCCCATCCCGAGCAACATTTAAAAGTTGTACTAACCAACTGTTGAAAAAATTATCACAACTGAACGGGAAAAATCGGGAATACCGAATAAACTCAGCAGAGTTTAAAGAAGTAGAGAGACTACAACTAATTGTGCCGTACCTAAACAAATAGCCGAATAACAAAGTTTTTGGTATGACTATTGCGAAACCTTGACTTCCATAAGCCCCGCCATAAAATATTTCAAAACAACTCATCTCTCCTCTCCCGACCCAATTTTACGAAATTGAATTTTGACCCTTCCCCCCATAATACGAAATCCATCTCTAAAAAAGATTCTAAAATTTTAACTATACACCCATCAACGACGGGAACATCAGCTAGTTAAGTAATAAATTACAGTTATCTGTCAATTATTGAAATTCTTTAACACATACATACATATTTCGTATCAATAGTTGACTCTGAATATAATTTATTGTTTATAATGTTGAATTAATGATATATATTTATATTGCTATAATTTGTCTATTAGGTGCTACAACTGAAAACGATGGGTATTAATGACCTCCTCCATTTCGATTTTATGGATGCTCCGCCAGTCGAAAGTTTAATAATGGCTCTCGAACAACTTCACAGCCTCAGTGCCCTTGATGACGAGGGGCTTCTTACAAGACTTGGAAGAAGGGTACGTGTTGAGTTTATTTTATTTATCTTTTTTGTTTTTTTTAGTTCTATTATCTCATACTAGACTTAAAAGACAAGAAACTGCCAACAGATTCCGACTACTACAACACTTACTTGACAAACGCTCTAAATTTCCAATACTCTACAAAAACCACATTTACACACCCATCATCAGGCCCATTTGGACATACGGTATTGAGCTTTGGGGCTCTACAAAAACATCAAATTCTTCCTATATCCAGTCATTACAAACCAAAATCCTCTGTAAAATCCTAAATGCTCCTTATTATGTAACAAATAAAATTATCCATAAAGACCTCAACATTCCTCTTCAGAGAAAACTTGGCCCGAACTAGATATACCTCTTTTCATTCCAAACTCTTTGGTCACCCCAATCCTCTAGTTCGTAACCTTTCATCCAATACAATTCCTGACAACCCTCCGAGGCGTCTGAAAAGAAGATGGCCGAGGAACCTCCTAAATTAATTTATCTTTGAAGTGTTACCAATGGATAGCTTCTTCACAAGTACTGTCATGTAATATGTTCCCATAGCAAATTTTCTGCTTGTATATATGTTTACAGTTGTAAATTTCAATAAAATAATTTTTAAAAAAGTCCTATTAGATGATTTATAAAAGTTTTATATTTGTTAATGATGTAGAGTTGGTTGACCGTTGATATGATATGAGAAGGAATTAGTCGAGGGTGCGGTCAAAAAAATAAAAAAATTAAAATATATAAATAATTTTAATTTTTGCCGACGTTTCGACCCACTTTGCAGGTCGTCTTCAGGGCGTTGGATGTGGCACTGCGGGAGGCGGTTGACAACATGTTGTCCTCAACATGTTGTCAGGCGGTTGTCCTCAACCGCCTCCCGCAGTGCCACATCCAACGCCCTGAAGACGACCTGCAAAGTGGGTCGAAACGTCGGCAAAAATTAAAATTATTTATATATTTTAATTTTTTTATTTTTTTGACCGCACCCTCGACTAATTCCTTCTCATTTTATATTTGTTATTGACGGATAAGAAGAAATTAATATATTTAGTAATAATAGTAATTTATTATGCTGGGTGACACCTTTTTCTTAAATTTCAACATTTTTTTATTCTATCAACTGATAGTATTTAAGCTTGTAGAATCTTTCCATTAGAAAGTAAATGTAAACATATATTGTGATACCAAGTGCTCTGTTATGTCAAAGACACCATATATTCAATTATAATAAAAGAATTATACAGTTATTATTATTATTACTTCTTCATTTATAAATTAATGTATTTATTTATGTAATATTGTTACAGATGGCAGAATTTCCTTTAGAACCTAATTTATCAAAAATGTTGATTATGTCAGTTCACCTGCAGTGTTCGGACGAGATACTTACTGTAGTATCAATGTTATCCGTTCAAAATGTATTTTACAGGTATGTCTGAGTTTTCCCTTATATTTTTCAGTAATGAAAGTAAAATAAATGTATTTTATGATAAATTATGTATTTATATATTTTAGACCTAAAGATAAACAAGCGCTCGCTGATCAGAAGAAGGCTAAATTCAATCAAGCAGAAGGTGACCATCTCACACTACTTGCCGTTTATAATTCGTGGAAGAATAATAAATTCAGCAATGCGTGGTGTTATGAAAATTTTGTTCAGATAAGGACGCTGAAGAGAGCTCAAGATGTTAGGAAACAATTGTTGGGAATAATGGATCGGTAAGTCAATTTTATTTTTATTTTTAAATCAACGTCTTTTAAATATATATATACAAAATGATATGCCAAAACTTCTCAGTAATGGACAGTCATAAAAATTATTTCATTGTAGCTAATTGTAAATGTAAAATATTATTTTTATTATATATTTTTTTAGGAAGAATTAATCAGATCTTCATATTATTTTGTTTTATTTTATCAGCTTGTCATTTCAGCCTTTTTTTACCCCATTTTCAAAAGCTTTTAACTTTTCATTTGATAAGTTTATTTCTATATTATCGTGGAATGTTGCACACATTATTATTCTCATTATTTATTAAACTATTCCTTTTAAAATTTATCTCATTCAATCTATTACATCCTGGATGTTAGTCAAATCCATTTAATATGTTTTTATTCCTTACTTTGTTGTTCATTCACAACTAGAAGAAAAAGTCTTTTTATTTATCAAAATTATAAAATAATATTTTTGGATTTAAAACCAAAAATCAGACGTGCTATATGGTCTGTTGACTGTCAGAGGAGTCTGTGTTTCATAACAAAACTATATTTCAGTCTATTTATATACAAATAATTAATAGGAAAATAAGAACAATTATATTTACTCTGTAAAAGTTATACAAATATTTTAATTACAAAAACAAAATTTAAAGGTACCAAAATTCTCCAATTTATTAATTGTTAAATTCTCTGGTGAGCATTATTCTATAGGAGAGAAAAGAGACTTGCAGTAATTTACCAATGCCATCCAATTGTTTCCATTTAATAAATCAATTACTTGTTCCCGAGATAAATTTCTAGACTTTCTAGACTATTTAATTCTTAATTCAGAGAATATCGGACAAGCAGCCAGGAAGTGATAGAGATTTTTAGTTTTGTTGTTGGTTTATGTATACAATATTATATACATATTCATTATATATTGTTTTCTCAAATACACCCACATGCTGCAATTAGTTTTAATTGCTGAGATTGCACTATATATTTGTAATTTATACAGAAATATATATATTTTTCTCTTATATGATTGAAATTTTACGTGCCTGGCCATCTGTACAAAATCACAGCAATTTTCCGAATGGCAATTTTTGAAAATATATCAGACAGCTTATGTTTCGAAAATAAATTATGTGTCGTTTTAGAGTTTTAAATAGTAAAAAATAATAAAACATTAATGGAGTAGTGTTAACTTCAACTCACCTTCATTAAATTTCAGTAGTTTTAAACTACTCATTAACATAGTTACATTATAAAAAAATGTAGATACTTGTAATGAAAAGAGAAGAAACTAGTTTTACATAACTAGTTGCATTTTGCCTGTTTTATATTATGTGTTCGCTTTATGATTTTGTTTAATGGAATACATTGCATCTGTACCTTGGAACAAAATGTACCAACACCCTCATGTGAATAAACTGGCACTTTTAACTAGGGATGGGCGATAGACGATAGTACTATCGTTAATCCTTTTGACTATTGACTATCGATAGTTTGCATCCTCCCCTTAGAAACAAATTATATTTAAAAACAATTAATACTTAAAGGAATAATTTTAATAATACGCCTTCATTCTTCTACCCATTTATTGATGTACGAAATATAGTGATAATATAACAATGTAAAAGTTAAATACTTGATAATGGAAAATTGTTGTATTGTATGGTATAATGGAAATCCCATATATAATAAAATAAATGGATAGAAGTGTGAAGGCATGTTTAAAACTATTATTAGCAATATAAAAAACTGAAACTACATTGAAGAAGAAAAATCCTTTGAGGTAAAAAATAATTCTATCTCAAATTACTTTCTTAAAAATATTTTTACAACTCCAGTTAACCGAGGGAAAAAATGTAACATTTACCTCACCTTTTTTAATTTTTTTTTTTCATAAAAGAAGTATAATTATAAAATCTACAATGATGCTATTACAGTTTTATTATATTTTAAATTAGGTGTTATTATCAAATTAAATTTATAATCTTAGAAATTAAAAGACACGCGTATTTCTCGCCTTGGTTTTTAACCAAATAGTTAAAATAATATTACCTATGTGTCATCAATGTTTCTTGTTTGAATTCAATGATCAGAGTAATAAATTGAAATTAATTTTTCCATATAAATGTATTTTATCTTCAATAATTTTTTTAGTTATTTATTTAGTAATTTTTATTATTGCCTTAGCATTGCTACTTGGAAGATTAAAAGACACGCACATTTCTCACCTCCATTTTTAACCAAATAGTTAATATAATACTACCTATATGTCATTGATGTTTCTTGTTTGAATTCCATGATTAGAGTAATAAATTGAAGTTAATTTTTCCATATAAGTGTTGTTTCATCTCATCGTAACCTACAACTATTTTATTTACAAAAACTCTTGGAATTGGGACGTTTTCAATCTGGAGGGGGGCAAGCTTTGTTTACTTAATTGGTTACTAAAAAGTCGTAAATACACATTTGCTTTCTACTTAGATCATAAGATAATTTGATCACAAAATAGATAAAAAAGGTGGGCTACAAAAATATTGGGTTGTTTGTCCTATATAACCCAGTTATTTGGGGGTGTAATTCACGCCAAACGGCTCAATATTTTTGAAGGCCACCTTTTTTCTCGTCTTTGTGATCAAATTATCTTATGATCCAAGTAGAAAGCAAATGTGTATTTACGAGTTTTCAGTACCTAATTAAATAGACAAACTTTGCCCTCCTCCAGATTGAAAACGCCCCAATTCTAAGAGTTTTCGTAAATAAAATAATTGTAGGTTACGATGAGATGAAACTATGGCTATAATCTTTAAGAATTTATCCAATATAAATGTTAATAATTATAAAGCTTATGCAGCATTTTAAAGTAAAGAACTAAAGAATACGCTAAAAATAAATCCTCTTTAAGTGTGTGTTGGGAAATTACTAAACTATCGATAGTGGGAAACTATCGACTATCACCCATCTCTACTTTTAACAATTAATGTATACCCAATCCTGATTTTGTATTAATTGTGCAGTTCACTCAAATTTTAGTTTTAAAATTTGGTTATTTTCATACAATGACAAGGTACAGATATATTTTCTTTTGTTTATTTCTAACACATACTAAATGAATATTTACTGTTACAGGCACAAATTAGATGTTGTATCAGCTGGTAAAAATACAGTCCGTGTTCAGAAAGCTGTATGCTCTGGTTTCTTCAGAAACGCTGCAAAGAAGGATCCTCAAGAAGGATATAGGACATTAGTAGATAGTCAGGTTGTTTATATTCATCCTAGCAGTGCTCTTTTTAATCGACAACCTGAATGGTAAGTAACACGATAATTGTAGATTTTTATTATCATTGACTATTTTCTATTTTAATGGAAAGATGAAAAATGATCAGGAGTCAGTGTGCAGTTAAAAAATTATGTTTATAGAGTTTGACCAAAAAAAAAGGTGGAATGAATGAATGAGATAACGGTTATATAAACATAACAATAATAAAAAAATTACACTATCTACATCTCATCAGCTCCCTTCCTTACTTTCCTCTACTTAACCTCAATAACCCTCCCATCCATTTTTTCCCTGCAGTCAAAAACCTAGGAGTATCCTTTGACCAGAACCTCTCCTGGAATAACCATATCTCCTAGATTACCCTAAAATCCATAACTACCCTTAAACAACTCCTGAGAATCCGTGATTGTATTCCTCTAAAAACCAGACAGCTCCTTGTAACCTCCCTTGTATTCCCCCACTTCGACTACGGCTGCTTGGTGTATGGAAGGCTATCTGCTAGGCTGGAAATGAGACTAAAGAGACTCGTGAATTGTTTCATAAGATACATTTTCTGGATCCCCAGGCGTTCACATGTTTCACTCTGGTACACCGAGTTGAAGTGGCTTTATCCTACTTCCCAACGACAATTCCTCCTTGGTGTTTTCCTTCTCCAAGTCCTCGGAACCAAAAACCCTCCCTACATCCTGGGACTCCTTACTCTACGCTCCTCTATCCACTCTCTCAATACTAGGTCTCAACCTATAGACTTATATATTCCCTCCCATAAAACTTCCTCCTTCAGCAAATCCTTCGTCATTCGTGCTGCTTCCTTATATAACTCACTTCCTACCTCCGTGCGTCAATCTTCGTCCACAAATTCCTTCAAACAACTCCTGTTCCAACACCTACTCCACATTCAAACTTCCCCTAACATGTAAAATTACTTGCATCTGTACAATGTTTAATTTCAATCTGTTGAAACAATTGAAATAACAATTAACAGTAAATTAGTTTGTATTTTAATTATGTCAGACTAAGACCCATAAATTTGTAATTCTGTTATTATTCTTAGGGTACAGCAGTCCCAGAATAAAATTATTTTTTCATTTCATATCTACTTGTACCATTATAATCCATGATGGTTTTGGGTTCAGTACTTTGTAAAGCGGACCCCGGCCCTATACAATAATTCATGAATGACAGTTAAATGACTGACAAGGATGCTTCGGTCATGATTACCCTTACACGTATCAATCATGCTGATGTATTTTAGCTCAGTTGAGATAACAGGCAATGTGGATCTGGTGCATTGTCCATTTATAATAATGTATTTTGACCGCACCCCCCGACCAATTCCTTCTCATATAATAATGTATCTCATTAAAAAGGCTTATTTAGCCATTATCCTTTATAGCATTGGATATCAAGAGACATAATAATTACTTCCTAGTATCTGAAAACCGTTTAGATAAAAGTTAGAAAATATAAGGTACTTGTCTAGAATCTGGTTGGGACAAAACCTCCGTTCTTATCTCATCTTACTTCACATAACTTCTCTTCTTATCTCATATAAGCTGTGAGTTATTCCATTGTGTATTTTTGTTAAAATGGATGTTATTACATTGTGGGAATTGCCGTCTTCATAAGAAGAGGCTATCAAATATTTTCAAAATGCGGCGTTTTTGTGGTGGCGGGCTCACAGAAAAGAGGATTCGTTCCTCATTTATTACATATGTATTTGTCTATTTCAATTTCTAATCAAACTGTTTTATTATTATTACATTTGCTTTCGTTTATTTCAATTTCCATAAATATAACATTTGTTTTTGTCTATTTCAATTTCCATAAATATGAATACTAAGACAGGGATCTTCAGTGCCATATCAGAATTATTAGGTCGATCCGCGACCGGATTCTAGACAATTATCAAATATAAATTTACTACTTATACTTGGTACTTACAAAAATTAAGGAAAAGCATTGCGAAAATAATAAATTTGTTGAGAAAAATGGAAAAAGAACTGACACAAATAGACATCAGTTAAAGATTCATAGTTTTCTACAAGTAAATTGTGTAGTTTCCACTTTTGTTTTCATTTAATACCCACTTGACTTTTTAAAAAAAAATTAGTTGAAGATAGCTTATAAAAATATAAACAAGAGATATGAAAAATATTTACTTTTAACGAAAATCAGGAATTTACAATGGTTGTGAGGCCTAAGCAAACTACTCGTAACTTATGTAGTAGTAAGGTTAGTCTCCCCACCAATTTTACCTCAGTCTCCTCTCTTGATTAAAACTTTGATTTCTGGATTTTCGGAAATCTGCCTGATAAGTCCATCAGTATCTTACACAATCAATCAGAACGTCAGTGCTTCGGAATGCAATTTCAAATGACCGTGTACGGTTGGTTTGCTTGAGGAAGTAATATTTCAAAGCCAATGGTTGTGCAGGGAGGTGATCTGGCCAGGTTCATGCTCAACTGCCTAGCTTTCTCCCTTAGTCAATTATTTAATTACAACATTGCAATATGCTAAGAAAATGTTTTTGTGTTATAAATAAAAGAAAAAGATAAGTAATCCAAATAATTACTCACTCATTTATATTTATTGAATTGTTTTATTCGGTTTACTTGTTTTTTTCCTTTATTTACTACTTTCATTTATTTTCTTATCATATTGTATTGTTTCTATTATTGTTATGTTAATATAACTATTTTCTCATTTATATGTTCCACCCTTTTCTTCTGTGATACTTTTATATTTATCATTTTTCTGATGTTAATTTTTTTTTTTTTTTTAATTTTAGCTCTGTTTATGATGCACGTGTTTGAGCCATAATGTCGGAAAATTCAATAAATATAATTTTTTAACTGCACATTCTGACCATTTGCCATCCTTAAAATTTCAACAGTCAACTATATACCCATTTATAATTTTTTTTATTTGAATAGTTGTTCATTGTTGTTTCTTTCCGTAGGGTTATTTATCATGAACTTGTTCAAACAACAAAAGAATACATGAGAGAGGTTACAACGATTGATCCGAAATGGCTGGTCGAATTCGCACCAGCTTTCTTCAAGTTTTCTGATCCGACCAAACTCAGCAAATTTAAGAAAAATCAAAGACTGGAACCTCTCTATAATAAGTATGAAGAACCTAATGCTTGGAGAATATCAAGAGTTCGGCGAAGAAGAAATTAAAGAACAAGATTACTTTATATTTTGTATATATGTGTTTATATATTTTAATATTATTTTAAACTATTTGTAAATTAAACTGTATAAAATTTATATATTAAATCTCATTTTATTTTTTTTTTCACTAAATATCTCTTATTATTTAAATTGTTATTTTTTTTTTATTTATCTATAACCAATAACTTTCATTAATATATTAGTAAAATTTGTTCTGAATTACTCAAATTTTAAAGTAATCATTTCAACTTCATTTTTTCTCTTCCTAAAAAAAACCTTAAATCTAATGAGAAAAAGAAATGGCGACACTGCCTTACTGACACTCAGTGCTGTGTTTAAGAACTTTCCCTATCATATTTTTAGTAGAAATATTTAAACTAACGATGCACAGCAAGTTTTTAGGTCTTTAACAATATCAAGCTTTGACAGATGCCACTCTAAAGCACCACTGGGATTCATTATCTATCATTCATTCTTCTTTAATGAGTTGATAGTCAATTATTAATGTTTATATAATATTGAATACTTGATAATTGACCATCGTGTATTATTGAGTAAGAAGATGGTGCGGGGTGGCGGTCATTAAAATACTTTAAAGTAACAAACTGTTTTATTTAAAGCGAAAGTTTCGACCCGATTTGGCAAGTCTTCTTCAGGGCTAAAACAAACAAGATACAAAAGGCTATAGAACAATGTGGCAGTTACGTAATGCTTAGATAAAAAATATAAAAAACGTGAATAACTTATCAAAATTATACATAGTGTGAATAGCAAGTACAAAGAAATATTAAAACAGTAAACTGAGTATAACTAAGAAACAAGACCCTAAACTGAAGTAAATAAATGGTAAAAATTATTGTAGATTATTGGGAAAAAGAGAAAAATTGAAAGTAATAAGGAGGATGGATATTGTACGTAATAATAGATATAATCATACAGATCTCAAGGAGGGATTGAAATTGAATTATGTCTATTATTTTTTTTTCTCTTTTTCTGTCAATCCCTCCTTGAGATCTATAGGATTATATCCATTATTATGTATATTATCCATTCTCCTTATTATATTCAATTTTTCTCTATTTCCAATAATCTACAATAATTTTTATTTAATTCAGTTTAGAGTCATATTTCTTTGTATTTGCTATTCACACTTTATAATTTTAATAAGTTTATTCACATTGTGTGGCTGTTGTGTTGCAATTATGGCTTGGTTACTGTTGACCAAAGCGGGGTACTTTGCAAGGACGGATTTACGGGGGGGGGGGGGGGCCTTCGGGCTGAAGTCCCTCCAAAATGGTAATATATAATCATGTTTTATGGAAAAAAATTATCTCTTAAAGTATTATTGTTGATGTAATCACATTTAAAAGGACTTAAGGAATCACTTAAACACCATTTCATATAGGTAGTTATTTTATTTCTTTTTTTTCCAAAGTAATTATTGTTATTTTTATGTAAATAACAAATGTGCTGAAGCCCCCCCCCAAAATTAAATCCTGGATCCGCTAGTGGTACTTTGCACTCAAAGCTGCATACTCTTAGTCCAGCTTTTCACAGTAAAGGTTTGAGTTGACTGCCTGCCCATCAAGAACAAGCTTAAAATGCAAAACGTCTTCAAAGTTTCACAAAACACTATCATCGCTGGCTTTTTTCCCTTACCAATCTTGGCTTAGTGCCTTTTTTTCCAGTAATGCCTTAAGACTATGTCAAAGACTCCAAATCACAATTTTTTCTCTGCCATTGTATGTGCATTTTAAAAATGTAACTGGTCCCATAAAGCCAATTTAAGTCACTAGGAATTAAAGGATTAGTCAAAGTGAACATTGGCATGAATTGAAGCAACAAAAACTTTCTTTTAGGATTAATTATAGGTGTTGGAATTAAGGATTCAGATGATAGTGTCATAACAGACTCAGCCGCAAAATTACAGCAAGTGATTGTGGAATGGGAAGCTGAGCTTGATAGAAAAGGTATGATCATAAATGAAGAAAAAAATAAGATTATGCAGATAAGTCGAGAAATTGAAGACATGCAAATAAACTGTAGGGGTAAGAATCTGGAGTTGGTAGATGTATATACATACCTAGGGACAGTTGTTGGAAGAAATGGAAAAATAGACCAAAAAAGCAAATGGCATCTATTATTAGATCTGCAACAGGGTCTTAGGAAAACGAGAGGTGGAAAATATATATGAGATATATATAGAACACACTCTACCTTCCAACCCTACTGTACAGTAGTGAGAGCTGAATCCTTCTAGATGCAATGCATACAAAAGTAGACATATCACTGCCAAAGTGAAATATCTGAGAAGAGTATTTGGCTGAACTAGAAGAGATTGCATCCGAAACGAACGGATTAGAGAAAATGTTAAGGTGGAATGCTGGAAACCGTGGATAAGAAAACACTCAAATGGTTAGCTCATGTTATGAGGATGGATGAGGACAGGGAACCCAGGAAATTTCTTGTGGCAAGACCCACAGAAAAAAAGTCAAGAGGACGTCCACGGAAAACTTGGATTGATGAAATAACCAAGCTCGGACAGAGAAGAGGCTAGCAGTTGGGTTATATGAGGGACCTGGCAAGAGACCGTGATAATTGGCGTAAATGGGTCGAGACCTCTCCACGCTGCAAGGCACTAAGGAGGATGACAAAGAAGAAGAAGAAGAATTAAGGATTGTGCTCATGCACCAGGAACAACCCGGTGCAAAATCACACTTCAACTTGCGTTATTAGATTAAAAAAAAAATTAACATTTTCTTTACTTTACATTCTCCTTTATTATTAACCTTAATATTTTAATATTAAAAATACTGTAATATTATATCGCAAATTCATGTTATGTTGTATTGGTTATTATTATAGATATTATAGCTTGTTTTCTTATAAATATAATAGAGGTTCATTTATTACAAGCCATTGTTTCTATTATAACCATTACACTTTTTATTACATGCAGAGAGAGAGAGAGAGAGAGAGAGAGAGATCAAGAAATGTGATAACTCATTCCCAATATTAACACTTTAATATAATGTCCATATTTAGATTGGAAAGACAAAGTGATGTTGAAGGTAACCAAATTGTTTTAAAAAAATAAAAGTTTTTTGATGCAATTATGAAAATATAACTCAAGAATTTATTTAGATCTATAAAAGATAAATTAATCATTGAATGCATGACATGATCAACACAATAGGAAGAAATACCTGTAAATTATATAAATTTTGTTGAAAAAAAGAAAAGAAAAATACATGTATTTATTTTTTAATGAAGAATTGAGAATGATTTCTCTATAAAACTAGTTATTTCCCTGCAAAACAAAAAATTATTTTTGAATTCGCTAACAAAAAATTTATTCTAAATATGAAGTAATGTTAATCCCCCCCCCCTCTCCCCAAATTTAAAAAACAAGTAAAGTTTGCCTATTATGCTCATGGTTTTCAGTTTTGTGAAAAATTTTCCTTTTTATGGAAATTTTAAGGTTGGTAGCGAAAAAAAGTAAAACAATTTTTATCAATCATTGCCCAATCGGAGTGCAATTTAATCTAAGTTAAACAAAACTGTAGTTACATATAATATTATCTATTATTTTGTAAATATTTGGGACAAATGGATTTTTAAGTTTCTTTCTGAGGGAAAAAAAGGAATATCTGACTGGCCAAATGGAAAATTAAAAAAATATATATTGGAAATGTTAGTGGATGGAAATGGCTGGAGAAAATACAGGAATAATCTGCTACAAATTTATTTCATAGCACTTTGAGCTCCTTACAATAATTTTGAATTATAAATCAAGTTATATTTTATTAAATCCAATCATATTAATATGTAGGATATGTTAAAACTATTACTAAGCATCATTTATCCTAATAACATTTATATTATTTTAGTTTTCTCTACTGAGATGACATATTTTCCAATTTAGAAATCATTTTAAATATAAATTTTCATTTTTTTTTTCAATTTAATTGTTATTTACAATGGATTAAAATATACAATTATCTTAGTGTTGGAAATGTTTTACATTCGAGGCCAAAATTTCATCTCAATAAAGAAAACTAAATTAATATAAGAGTTTCATATTCCACCCTCGTTTTAATCCAATTAGTTACAAAAAATAATATCCACAATAAGTTACAAAAAATAAAATATAAATATTTGTTAATGAAAATTGTTTCAGTATTATTTTTAAGTAATATCAATTCAGGATGATTAAAAATTAAAGAGAATAATAATTTATGATTAATATGATTATTAAATATGTACTTTTATTTAAGAATAAAATGAATCATTCAATTATTTACATATATTAATTACAATTTATACATATAAACATTGTTATTAAAAGCTAATTAAATTCGATTAGATAATCTAAGGGATTGTATTTAGTATCACAGAAATGTAGGAAGACATCTAGTTTTTGGGCAAACCTTAACCAGTAATTTCCTTATTAGTAAAATTGAATTTAATGATACAGTTTAGCTTACAACATATTTTTATGGCATTAAGTTTTGTTGAAAGCTTTTGGAGGTATCTCAGTTGCATACTTGACATCATCATTTCATGTGGTTTTCTCTAAATCCTGTCTAAATCATCTTTATAGTCTTCAAATTATGTAAAGTCTTTTTATTGCTTCCAACGTAATATTTGCTCTAAAAATTTAAAAAATAAAATTTTACAACAAAATCTTTAAAAATTAGTTTAAGCATTATTATTTATAATAAAATGTGTAGCAATATTATTATAATAAAATGTGTAGCTCAAATTTAGATTGATAGTATTTGTGATTTTATATTGGTTTTCATAAAAAGGCAAGATTGATAAGTTAAAATATAATAGTATTTTTATATTTGTATTTGGTTAACTGTATAGTATTCAATTCAAGGACACACACAGAAAATTAATACAAAAATTAAATCAATGCACAATCTTTTTCCTTTTGTGTAAATCATTATTTTTATTTGAATAAATTAGTTGTAAAATATATTTTTAAAATTATTTTGAACCTCAATAACTAAAAATATGAATATTTTAACCACTAAAATAATATTAAATTTAATCAATACTAAATTTAAAATAAAAATCTTTACAACATAAAGACATTTACTGCAGTTCCATTGCCTTCATAATTTGTTCTTTTAGAACTTAAGTGATGAGCTTATAATATGAGTTCTCAATAACGTCATTGTTTTCATAAAATAAATGAAACATTAAAAATGTTTACAACCATTATATGCTAATATAAAGAAATAAAAATTTTATTTATAATAACTGGCACCATATCATAATTTGTGGTTGCCCAGCGTATCAAGTTATACCCAAATAAATAACTCTTCATAAAATGATTTTAATACTATTATTTGCTTTTCTTGTAAAATTGTTATTTTAGAAACAAGCACCTATCCCCATAGATTGCTATATAAACAGAATTTGTTTCTCTATCTATTACAATTTAAATAAAACATATGTTTAGAAAATTATGTAACAATGAAGGGTATGTGCCATATTATTGATATAGAAATGTAAACTTCTCATTTAAAAAAATCTTACCTCTTCGATGTAGCAAACTGGAGAAGGTTGAGGAAAAATTTAGGAACAGTTTGATTATCAAAAATTAACCTTTGTAGAATGAACATGTTACTGTATACAAAGCTCAATTCACCATATGGAAGATCGGGCAGTTTGAATTTTTTCTTCAATTCCTCTCCCTGAATCTAAAACATAAATGCAGCAAATCCTATTAATTATTAATAATAAATTTATTTATTTTATTTTCGGCAAATAATCTTGTAAATAACAACTTTATTTGATTTTTAATGAATGAAATAAGCCATCTTGTGAATGATTTTTAGTTATTTAAAAAAAAAAATGTTGGTTATTTATAATTCAAAATATAAAAATTTTCTCGATCGCAATACGAAGAAATACCTGACAAACTATTCTGTAAAATATATTACATATATACGTAAGTGAAAGTAAAAATATTTAAAAACGGCGATATATCTACTAATAGTGCTTCGATTTCGATGAAACTTCTTTTGTTTTTTAGGCAATTTAAATAGCTTTGAAACATCTTATCACAACATTCCCAAAAAAGTGTATAGTTTTTGAGTTATTCGGAATTTAATTTTACCATCCCTCGTAACTTTTTTTCAGCTTCTTTTCGCTGATGAATGTTATATAGATAAATTTGAAGGGTGTCGAGAAAATGACTTTAGCGAAGTTTCAATGAAATCGGTACATTCGTTTAGGCGCTACAGTCTATAGCTATGTTTTTCTGCATTTTTATTTTTTTTCTCCTTTATTAACTTAACAAATTCTTTCAAAAGTTATATTTAGCATTTTTTTGTAACTCTGAATAATGCGAAATAATTATATTTTTAAAATAAACCATATTAAAGGTACTTTAGAGGAAGACGTATATGAACATTGGGCATTTAAGCCCTGTAAAGTGACATCAATGGGGATAAGACCTAATTTATATTAAAGACCACTTAATTATACAATGATACACTGAGTTTAATCAAAATCGTTAGAGCCATTTTTGAGAAAACTGTGAAAATGTGTTTCAGCGTTGATATAAAGTGGCACTTCCGGTTAGCCGATTTTAAGGAAAAAGTTGCCGTCACAACTAAGGCATATACCTATCTTAAATACGTGATATCAGTTTCATAGGACTTTTCGTTTTTGAGCTAGACTGCTAACATACAAACACACAGACACACAGACCATTTGTCGGGACTTGGTCATTTCGACTCAGGGTACCTCAAAACGTATAAATCCATCAAAAACTCAGATTCAAAAATTTTCTCGATCTCAATACTTACATTTACTATATATTACATATATACGTAAGTGAAAGTAAAAATTATGTGAGTCTCCAAACAAAAAAAGGCTTTTTCATTCATTCTTGAACAGTGTTAGCCTGTATGGATCTGAAATGTAGGTTATTACCATAAAGGAAGAGAAAAAGTTGTTATCGTTGATATAGGTTTCTGAAGACGATATAAGATTTCAGTATGGTACCATCAAAATGATTAGGTACTACAAAAAATAAATAAAAAATAATGTTGTATAGCATTGAGTCAAAAACATCAAAATGGTTTAGCCATTCTCAAAGAATGCCAGAGGAATTAATTTTCCAGTATCAACCGATAGAAAGGCAAAAAAGAGGATGATTCAGGAAGAGATGGTTATAAGATATGGAAAATTCATGACTGCCCGAAGTGTTTGAGAAGAAGACTGAAAAGAAGTAGCAAGAACTTTCAGGCATAAGTGACTACATATAAAAAAAAAACAAATTGTTAATAAAAAAATCCAACAATTTAATAAGAGAAAGAAAACTAATTCTAGCAAAAATAAATTCACAGCAATTTTCCCCCCTAATCTTTTAGTTAAATTAAATTTTTAATGGACATATTCAACATTAAAAAATATTTCAATAGTTATGAATAATATTCATGCTTTTGATTTCTTTAAATTAATCAAATATTTTCATATATTAAAAAATGTTTTTTAAATATTTTCTCATAAATCATTTGAAAATATATATTAGTTCCTCTCAATCAATCACTTTGGTTTCCCGATTTCAAAATCATATAAATTTGAAAGTATACATAAAACTCTCCCATAGTTAAATTAATGATCATACTCAATTTAATTTTTAAATAGTGTCTTAATTATAATAATGCCTATCATGGATAAACTTTTTAACTATTACCTTCAAAAGTATTGTGGCAGCAGTGGACATAATTTGAAGATTTGGACTTAACCAATACGAAATCCCGGAAAGTAAGCCACTCCAAAATGTATGTATAGAATGATGTTTACCATCCAACTTGCATAGGTAACAATTTACAGTCTGTAAAATAGTTATAAATAATTGAAATATACTCAAGAAGGCTATGGTTCAGTTTTAGTTTAACATTTTTTGCAGAATTAACTAAAATAAAAGATTTTTTCATCCACGTTCAATTGTTTAATAATATGAAATTCACTTTGTCAATGATCCTACAGCAGATTTCCTCTTATTGGTATTCGTTCAAACTAAAAAGAATAAATTAAATTATTTGCTTTTGAGGAAGAATTGTTAATATTGATTAATTGAATAACTTTGTTTCCATGTTTTTATTTGTTTATTTATTTTTTTTAATTTATCTGGAGTGCTACCAGTGGGTAGTTTCTCAGCAAGTGATTTCATGTTATTATTTTCTGTTATCAAATTTACTAAATGTATTTTAATTCTTAATACAGTTGTAAATATCATAAATAAATAAACATGTAATATGTAAAACCATATATTATTACAGTGAAGAAATGTTTAACCATAGTTCTAATTTAAGAGATGATTAGTCGAAGGGTAGTTAAATAGTTAGTCAACTATCACACACTATAGTGGTGTAATAATTATTATTAATACAATGTTTGAAAGAAAAATAAGTACATAAAAGTAGATTAGATGTTAAATTGGTACAATATATCTGATACAACTTGAAGACCTATTTTAGAGAGTGAGAAATGATAAGTATTAAATGAAGAAATGACGAGTATAAACAGAATAACATAATATAACATGAATGGAAATATAAATGGCAAACTGTGATTTGAAATGAATATTAAAACTGATAGAAATTTAAATGGTAAACGGATTGAACGGATTGAAATGCAAGTGATAAATAATTGAATGAAATGCAAGCGATAAACAATTGAATAAAATGCAAACGGTAATGGTGGGAAGTGGATTAAAATTAATATTAAAACTGATAGAAAAACATTATATATATATTGTTACAATTAAAAATTGATTACTCTTTAGGAGAGTAATTTATTATAATTATTGAATTGGAATAAATAGAAGTAAATTGATACATACAGTAAACCGTTAATTATGACAATGACATGACAAATACATAATAAATGATAACTAATACGACAAAAATAAAAATAAAAATCAACTTGGAAATTAATATTACACCAATATAGTGAGTTATTGTTATAAATATTACACCAATATAATTTTCATATAGTGAATTTCATAATAAGTAGTATGTAAACAAATACATTTACCTCGAAAATAAACACATACGCACTTATAAAGTATGACAACTGTAAGCTTCTCCATTGAAAAAATGATTCTTGAGTTTTCAAAGGTGACATCACTTTATAAACTGTGAATCTTACTAGAGCCATGGCTAACCCTAGCACACTGTATTTAAGAGTTTTCTAAAAATTTGTATCCAACATTTAAAATAAATATTTCAATAAGTATACAAAGTCAAATGTCAAAATATTTAATTTTTTTTTTACTCTGATGATATTTTCTTTGCAAGAATATTCATGAGGACATTTCTTTTCATTGTTGTGAGAGATATTTCCTGAGTGATCTTCATTTCTGGGTGAAGCTGGGGTAAAAATCCTGTGATTTTATTCATAAAATTTGTAATTAACATCTTAGTTTTAATTTTATTAATCAAAATAATAAAAATATATTTATAAAAGTAAATAAGAAACAACATTGGAATGAATTTTAAAAATTAGAAACCATGAATCAGTTTTCATCAGCTGATACAATCCATTGGTTGGAAGTTGATTTTTATATTTAACAGTTTAGTGGATCATTAACGAATATAGATGGAAGCTAATCCAATTTTCGTTGAAACAATAAGTGATCAATTAGATTTTAAAATTTTGAAAAACATAGTCATCAACTATCAAAAATAAAATAAAAAATAAACCCTAGTAAATATCAGTTAAAGTATGAACATCATTCCAACTTTTAAAAGTTTCAATTTTTTAAAAAGTCATTTCTTACTTATTTATTATTTAATCAAAATTATCCTACGAAACAGATTCATATTCAGTTCTATACTATTTTGGGAAACAGAACAATGTTTCGAAACAAAATATTTACATTTCTAAAACTTTAAAAATATTGGATAAAATATTCTTTGGAACTTAAAAAAAAAAATAGAAGAAGAAGAAGTATTCACGGTATGATATTTCTTTATGATTGAAAGTTCTTATTAATCCTGTTAAGGAACAATCTCATGAAACGAACAATAAAATTTCTGTTCTTTAATATATATAGAGGGAAAAAAAACATATATAAAGCTCCTTCTCATACTAAAACAACCAAATTGCAATAGTCATTTCAGATTTTTTTGGTATTACTAAATTTATTTTTATACAACAAATTGTATTTTAACTGCCTTATAAATTTATTTTTCATCGTTCTTAGAAAAAGTAAGAACAAAGAAAAACAAAGAAACACAATAACAACAATAACACAATAACAAAGAAAAACAAACTTTAATAAAATATTTTTTTATACTCTAGGGACACGAACAATAAGTTAAATTTCAAATAAGATTTTGGGGCTATTGAGAGACCATAAAATAATATACTTGTGATTAAAAGAAACCTAGCCATTTGATCTATAATATTAATGAATTTATTATTTATTTTGATAATGAATCTAGGATTCATTATAAAATAGTTAAACAAGGCAGTTCAATAGTTATTACACAGAGCACACAAATACTACATAGTAATTTTTTCTATTGAGAGTAGACTATTGGCTAAATATGAAGTTAATATATTTTATTTTAATTTTCAAGTAATGTCATTGTTTTACTTACCACAAAGTATCTTTTTTATCAGTGAATTCTTGACGTATTCTTAAAGAATACATTAAAAATGCATTCACCAACATAAACAATAAGGTTTCAAATTTCTTCGATTTCACAATGATTTTTCTATTTACCAAGATTTTGTAAAAACTTTCTAAAAACTAAATACAAATAATTTATTAGACTATTTTTTCAAATATAAAATTAATATATAGCTACTAAACTTTAAACTTTTACAATGATAATTTAGTTAATCCTACGGTAAGATGTAGTTAATAGAATTTTGTAGCTGAAGCATCTTCATTATAATTTTAAAACAAGAACATATTGTGATTGTTTAAGTATTTGGCTGAGATCACTCATAGAAACCTTTATGGGCCATTGAAAAAAAATTTATTAGTTTTCTGTCCAAGAGACAGATTGTTGTAATACTTAATAAAGAAATTTAAAAAAAAGAAATTTTAGTTTTGACCTTTTTTCATTAATTATTCTCTCCTTAATTGTTGTCTATAGATCCAATTTAATAAATAATCATTCTCAATATGTAGATTATTCTTTAAACAAATTATTATTTTGTTTATCAATGCTATATTACTTGCTGATACATTCCAACTTGGATAATTCAAACATTTTTCAATCAAAATCACAGACAATTATATGAACAACGATATACTCTTAATTTGAAAGTACTGTAGAAATTTGTTTAACTGAATTGTTTTAGTGTTTTATTATGGGAGATTATATTAAACACCTTTTTCTCTCAAAACCCTATAACGGTAGTGGACTCATTGATCACACTGCACTTTTTAAAAATAAAGTTGTTTAATATAATCTTGGATAATTCAAAATTGAAATAACCACTGAACAGTTTTGAATTAAAAAAAAAAAAAATCAACATGATAGAAATTAATTTTTCTTATATGTTTGTTGTCTTTCTTTGGAAAGTTGAGATTAAACTACATGCTTTCACACTTTTGTCGACAAAATTTAATCGCCTTAAATTAATGTTGATACTAATTTGTTAATTGAAATTATCATCATTACTTTACCATTGACATAAAAGTAGTACTGGTAATCTTTCTCCTCTCGGGAGCTTCAAAGAATATTGGTAATCCACAAATGATTGGTGAACCATAAACGAAAAGTGTATTGTTGAATTTTCCCATCATTTTCCTAAAATAAATATATATTAGTTTAAATTTTAAGAATAATCTAAATATGATATCTAATTAACCAATCACCTACAAGAACACACAGTTCATAGTCACAAATAAAGTTGCATATGAAACTCCGAATGACATTGATCTCATAAAATTGAATAAAACTTGTCGGATGTAGATTTTCTTCTTATTTCTGAGTCTGAACAAATATTGTACCTATAAAAAAAATAAATAAGTCATTTGTACCTTTGTAGAATTAACTACCTTTAAATTATGCAACATAAGATGCAGAATAAAAATATTTAACTTTGTGATTCATTTTTAGTTTCCGAGATTCTTTATTTATAAGATACACATATTTGAGTTCTTGCCTCGACTTCCAAACGATCCACATGTTTGGGTCAAAATGTTGGCTAACCTGATAAAAATATCTTGACTGAAATTCCTGACAATTTTGTTTCATCCTTATTTTTTTTTTTTTTTAATTAAGAAGGTTAAAATGTGAACCGAACTTGCCATATATTTGAATATGCCAAAAAACTATTAGAACCAAATGGAGGAATATTTTCTGCAGATGATTTCTCAATTACTTTTGTTTTCCTTATTTAAACATCCAGTTTTAAATCAAGTTTATCATAGCTAAAATAATAATGATAAAATGTAATAAATAAATATATTGATTGATCCATACAGATACAAAAATTTTCATAATGGAAGCACGCTATCCCAAATCCTTATCACGTTTTTCACAATGACTGCCATGACATAATTTTTGATTCTTAAAATTAAAGGATAAATTTTATGAAATAATTTTGTTTAAAAATATTATCCAAAAGTTGATGTAGAGACGGTTGACCGTTGATATAATATGAGAAGGAGTTGATCGGGGGGTGCTATGCAGGTCTTCATCAGGGCTACAACGGATATAAAACATGGTGAAAATAAAATAAATGAATATAAGTAGATATAAAATAAGAATAAGTTGTCTGATACAGAAATAAAAAGATGATATCAGAGATATAGTGGGTGACAATGTAGTTAAAATATCAAGTATTATATGTATAGAAGATACAAACCATTTTTCATTTTTCCATTTTTGTTTGTATCTTCTACATATAATGCTTGATATTTTAACTACATTGTCACCCTCTATATCTCTGATATCATCTTTTTATTTCTGTATCAGACAACTTATTCTTATTTTATATCTACTTATATTAATTTATTTTATTTTCACCATGTACCTTTTATATTTGTATCTTTTGTAGCCTTGATGAAGGACTTACAAAGTGGGTCGAAACGTAACGAATAAAATACTATTTCAACAATTCGTATTCATTTGAACGCACCCCTCCCTCTCCATTCACCTTGTTTTGTATCTTTTGTAGCCCTGATGAAGACCTGCAAAATGGGTCGAAACGTCGGAAAAAATTAAATAATTCTACTTGTTTAAATTAGTATTACTTTGACCGCACCCTCCGATTAACTCCTTCTCATATTATTCAAAAGTTGTTGAAAAACTGTTAAATAAAAATTGTTCCTTAAAAAAAAATCTAGTTTAAATTTAATTTGTTTAAACAGATAAAACCAAAACTTTGTGGCACAATTGATTGTGTAGTTAACTAATGATTAAGGGTGATTTCTGCTTTATTTGAAAAGGCATTTTCAATACTTAAATATGTTTTTAATTCCTAAAGATATAACTTTTTCATTTTTTTTTATTTATTGAATAATTCACTACTTATATTTCTTTAAAGATTAGATACTTTACAGAAAATTATACAAAGTAAAAATTGATATCAAACTTGTTAAAATTTTTTTTTTTTTTTAAGTAAAAATGTTAAATATAAACCAACATTTTTAGGGGACGAATAGTTGTCAAAATTAAATTATTAGATAAAAGTTAAAAGAAAACTTTTCGGAAAAATTTAAAATATAACAATTTTGATGACATTTTTACTTAATGATAATAAAAAGTTTATTAAAATTGAAAAACTTGAGAAATAGAAAATAATAGTTATTTTTCAGTACCTGGTTTAAATGCACTAATTAGACAGCAGTTAGCAGAAGAGAACTGTTGCACAAAATATGCAAAAAAGAGTTAGAGCTAGTTTTAAAATGGATTAGTTTTTACTATTCATAACAGGAAAGAACCTTCTCTTCAGATATCATCAACAGAAAATCGAAGTTAAAAAAATATTGGAAATATAAAACCACATTTTTATGAAATAAACAATAATTTTTTATGAATCTATTAATATAATAGCAATGTTTAAGATTGCATAAAATACGGACAAAATAATCTTCGTGACAAAAAATAATATGTATTAAAACTTCCAGATCTTCCAAGGCTACTTGACTTTGAATGAATTCATTCAACAAATTTGTGATTTAGATTGGTTCCTTTCTATTAAATGCCTTTCAATTCAAAATGATATTTTGGACGACTACTTTAAAAATGTATCAAAATAATTATGCAATTAGAGCATTGCAAGTAATAAATAATCTATAAATTATAAATTGTACAAAATTATAAATATGATCTGAGTTAATAATTTATAAACTTGAAAGATTATAAACCATTCATTAAATTTCACCATCTAATTTTAAAGAATATTTTTTAAACTGTCTATTACTTAGATTTTAACCTTCTTCATATTTATCTTTAAAAATTGTAATAATAACATAAAAAAAAAAGAAGAACGTAGGTCAATTTGATCCATAAGTCTTACTTTATTTTTTCTTTCACCAGCGTTTCAGCCCTTATATTTCCTTTACAAGGGAAGAAAATTATTTTAACATTAAAATTCTAAATTAAAAAAACATTTACGATAATTTATCTATGTCACATTTTTTTATACAATCCTGAATTTTATAATAAGTTTTTTTCCCTTGAAATGTTGGTGAAAGAAATTTGTATAATAAAATGTGTTTTATTATTATAAATAAAATCAAGTCTTAACAAACTATAAAATATATATGAGAAGGAATTAGTCGAGGGTGCGGTCAAAAAAATAAAAAAATTAAAATATATAAATAATTTTAATTTTTGCCGACGTTTTTACATCATTATAAAATATATATTGATAATAATTTTAATTATTGAAAAATAAATCGGGAAATTGCACTCAAATTTTCAACCAAGTAAATAATGATATAGTATATTACTAATTGATTAGTAACTGATTTACTTACCCCATGCATTATAATGAAGAAAAAGAAAAATCCTTTAGAAGAATCAATAAACATCGCAAAGTTTCCCTTTATACAACTTTTGCTCCATGGATGAATAAGATCAACACAATTGAAACTTTCCATGTTTTGAATAGGTGATTTACTAAAGATTCCCATTACAAGATTTGTGTCAATTGACAACTGAGAGACTAAGGTTCTTACGATACTGAGAAAATGCTAAACACTGCTTATTTTTCTCTCTAATCAGCATAAAATTTGAATATAATGATTCAGTTCACGGTGACCATATTGTTAACTTGACTATGTGATCTGGTCTTAAACCTACCTGGTTTTCCTCATTTATTGTTTGGAATTTGTATTAATTTATATTTTTTTCTAAGCATATATTATCAATTGTGGAACATGCATATTTAAAATAAAAACTTATATAAAAAAATAAAAACAAAAATATAATACCTGATAATCATTGCTTGTATTAATTCTGACATCTAAACAGCTACTACTTTTAAAATTTTATAAAATGTGTTATCAGAATAAAAATGTTGAGTGTGAATTAGAAGATAAGTTGAAATAAAATCTTCAGAGCCCTTAAAAATATATTTATATATTTGCTAAAAATTTTAAGTATTAAAATAAACAAATGAATGGATCAGAAAAAATAAGAACAGAATCAATACAAAAAAACATAGAGTATATTTATTTATACATTTATTTTCTGGTTATGTGAACATCACTTTTTTTCGGATCAATAATTTTTTTTTGTATAATTTATTAATAATTTTGGATAATATTATAAAATTTAAATGAAATACTTTCATAATAGCTATAATGAATCATTATGTTGACAGTAGTAGTTATCCTATATATTATTTATAAAAAGTTTTTTTGTTGGTGCTCCATAACTTTGTCAATTTTTCATCAAATACAATCATTGACCACTCATTTTGAAGATATTCTTCTCCTTCACATGCAAAAAATAGTCATATCTCCCTGAAATTTCTGGGAAAAAAGTAATGAAGAAAAATAAACTTTATTCGTGAATAACTCAAAAAGTATGCATTTTTTTGTTGATTGTACCCATGATAATTAGATAGACTACTAATTTATCTGGAAAAAATTGGCAATTATTAACAAAGATATAGTCCATTACTTTTGGTAAACTTAATAATGTCTTCCTCTTTAAAGATATTGAATTTAGGAGTAGAATAGTCTACTACACTTTTTTTCCTGGCTGATATATTAACTTTATTATTTCTTAAAGGCATTTGTTTGTTCTTAAATTCTATTTTTTTAATAATTAATAATGATTGAGCCATTATTTTGTTTTTATTATCTTTCCAGTCTGCGTTTACAAATAGGTCCTAAGAAAGCAATTTGTACAAATATTTTGGTCTATTATGTTAAATGGAATATTGTAATCGACCAAGAAAAAAATATTAACTCCTTCCTCATATAATAGATAGGATCTACTTATTTCCATATTGTTTTGCTATTTCTTCACTAAACAAAATTTTCTGTGAATTATTCACAAGGACCAACTAGTTAAATTTATATCAAATCTTCTTTTATTTAACTCTTGATTTAAACGATTTACATATTACACTTCAGTTTCTATGACGCAAGACATAAATATTATGAACATGATTTCAAAATTAAGCCATGAATTATACATATATGGATAACCTATTACTTTCTCAACTCTTCCCAAATTTATCTTTATAAAATTGAAACACAAGTATTTTATACTTAGCAAATATATCTATTTAAATTTTTAAAAATACTGAATTTGTCTACACATTTTCATCAATTTTTAGTCCAAAATTTTTAGTAAAACTTTTAATATTATTATTATGGGATTGTGGTTGTGGTTTTAACTTTTTTTAACTTTTAACAAATAACTCATAAGTTTTATTCGATTTTTTTTTTAGAACTTTAATCCAATTTATTTTATTATATATACCATAATAATAATTATAATGTATTTTATGTCAAAACAATGCAATCTTGACAATAATTACTATGTATTTGAACTTATTAATAAATTTAGGAAATGTATGGTGTGATAATTTTCATTTATAATGATGTGAATAGACATTATAATTCTCCTTGAATTCTTTGACATAATAAAAAAAAGTAAATAGTTTCAAACAGGATATAATGAAATGGTTCCTGTTTCCTGAAGTGAAAGGTGAAGGATGTAAATAACTATGCTATTTTAAATTTTATTATACATAACTTTTATTTTTGTATACATATATGCACATATACATCGTATATTCACCAGATATGTATTTTTCATTAATTTCACCACATCTAAATATATGATATTTTTTTGTTACTAGGCCAACTTCAGGTCTTTCAGTAAATACGGCAATTAAATGCAGATACTCTATTGTCCAACATACCACTATACAATCATATAATACTTTTTCATTTGAGATTTTTTTATCATTGATATTTTGCATATGAAACATTCATGGACTGTTACATATTTATCCATTAGTTACATTTCATTTACAGTACTATTCATACTTTCATTAATAGTATCTTAAATAAAACATACTCCAATCAAACTTTTAATATTTGCCATTATGAATCTTGTTGAAAAAAAAGATGTTTAATAAAGATATGGCAGTGCATGAATGCGTCAAATCCAAAATATCATAAGTCCAGTATCAGTAATCAGTAGTCTGTTAAACAATAGTGTAAATTGTCGTGTTTTTTTCTTTCAAAAAGTCATAAAATTATATTTTGTAACAATAAATCACTAAGAACTTTTACGAATTTTCTCTTTGTGAAATCAGAATATTGTGAAGTTGCTGTACCTATATAAAAGATTTTGTGAGTTATGACTTTTTTCAATAAACCAAAGATATGCATTTAACATTAAAATTTATACATATATGTGTCAACATGGTCTTATCTCCAACATATAATGTGCATATCCATATATGTGGATATGGATATAGATTGTACAAAGAAATTTGTTATAAACAGAAAATTGATTCAAGCACTATTTGCGAAATTGTGAAAGCTTTGCCAATTATTTTAATGTATTATTATTGCTAAATACTAAAATGAGTAAGTAATCTTGTATAAAAAAAGTTATATATTAAATAAAACAATAAACTCTTATTATTAACAAGTAGTTGTAAGTTTCCTTTTCATAATATTTTGCTGAAGGTAGCCCTCAATTATTAGTTATTATATCCCAACCGTGGTTGGTACGACCTAAACCATATTTATCTGTTGTCGCAAATTATACATTGATAATATACAAAATTACAAAAATGATGTGTCATATTGACAAAGTTCCCACACTTTAAATATTTCTTGCAAACTATTGAGTCTAAAATAAATTTAAATATATAATGGGAACAACTTCCTTTTTCCTGACAAAGACAATTGAATAGTAACTCAAACATTGTGATTACAAACTTAACAATTTATGTGACAAGAAATACCCATAAGTTACTTAATTATAATAATAATAAAAATATTGTTTAAAATATGATTATTTGAAAAAAAATGTTATAGAGTCCAATTCCATTTACATAATTATCATTCATATATTTCATCATCATTTAAATAAATATTTATTTATAAGACCAAAACATTGTCATCTTTATATATTATTTCTCAAAAGTACTTTTTTGTCTATACCATTTTTTAAGTATGTACCTATGATTATTTTAAAGATTATTGAATTCACACAAAACAAAAAAAAAATTCAACAAAATCAGACAGTTTTTAGTAAAGAAATAGTCCATAGAAATACATGTTTTGGATTATAACCATGAATGAAATAATGAGATTCAACCGAGAAAAAAACATTATTTTCTTATCTCATAATAAATTGCACTAATTTTAATATTATATTGTAAATTGTTCAATGAACAATATACTATATGAATTATATGAACGGATTAACTAGTAGCTAAAATATATTTTTAAAAAATGAAAAGGTTTTACATTACTTTTTCATTGTTTTCTTGTTTTTAAAACTAAATTTTGTTTTAGTAGAAATGAGTGAAGGCATGCGATAGTATTGCTACCTAGTGGCGAGATTAAGAACTATCTAGTCAGGTTAACTGTGGTCTTATTCTTATCTTTGAAGAACCTTTTTGTTTTTTTGTTATTTAAAGTATCATAAGTTAGAAGTAAATAATTTTATTTTTAACAAATTTCGATAAGAATGGAAGATATTGTTACGAGCTATTATGTTTTAATGTTAGATATTAAAGAATACCCATATAACTCTCGCAGTGGTTGTTTTACAAGATGGTTCCACTACTTCAGGTTGCTGATGTGAAAGCATACTTACCTGGCGTGGGGGTTACCGTGATCACAAAGGCGGTTCCCCCAGGGTGAGGCTCTTCCATTGCACTTCGGTCGGGCTGACCCCTGCGAATACCCCAAATGTGGGTATCTCGGGCGCGTAATTTTTGATAGTCGGGACTGCGTTCGCGCTGTCCCGGATAACTTTACATCACTCACACGTTGGTAGAATATAACGTTATTCACGAGGATTACGTTATTTAACGTCTACTGCGTTAAAGATTCCGTTAATCCTTTACATAACAGTAATTGTTAACTGTTATTTACTATGTAATTATGTGTTATTGTTGTATACTTAAATTGTAACGTGTTAAAAGGACCGAGTCAACTAATTTTTGTATCTGTATCAGTTCCCTAGTAGTAAGATACTCGTGACAAAATGGTATTTGCATCTGTAGGTACAACAGATCCAGTTCCAAATAAATATCAATCAAGCACTGCAATAAATTTTGTTCATTCCAAAAAAAACAGATGGTAACGGGTAAAACTGTTAGATTTCGATAACAGGTTACCAGCTAAGAAACTATGTTCCAGTAGCATTTTATTTTAATAACAAGTTTCTTCTGTTTGTTTGGATGTCTAGTTGCAAAAACATCCACCTGGATACAATAATACAATAAATAAATAACAATAGACACTTATAGATAATAAGATAGAATAGATAAATAAATAAACTTTAAAAAAATTGCTATAAATGAGTTGAAATTAATAACCAAATGAACTTTTAAAATAAAATGAAATAAAAGTAAATACATAAAATGAACTCTCCTCTAATTCCATCCAAGGAAACCATCACCAATGGAAAACGTTTTAGGGCCAGTTGCTCTAACTCAGCTTAAATTAAGTGTTATCTAAGATTCAAAACCAAGTTTTCTAAGGTCCGCCGATCAAGATTTAAACTTGGTTTAATCTTCTTAGATACTGCTTAATCTAAGCTTCACAGAGTGGAAGCAACTGGCCCTTATGCTGAATTTAGGAAAACTGCATGGATTCTAAGGGAAAGTCAACACTCTTGGAAGGTTACAAAACATGAAAAATATTTAATTTAACTAACTAAACTAGCTCACTGAAGAATTGTTGGTTGAATTTCAGAAATAATAAATAGAGACAGAAAGTAAACTGAATTTAAAATTGTAAAGTAATTTAAGAAGTTACCTATTATGCCCTAAAGCCCTACTATAGATAGATTAGCCTGTGATTTGCAAATTATGATCAGAGAAAAAAAAAATCCTTACCCTAATCTTTAATTTTCATAAATCATAAATGATTATAAGATTACCTTTCTGAGCCTTTCCCAAGAAGCAAAGGATTGTTCCAGAAGTGCTGTGCCTCTCCTTCTTTCTCTGTTCAAGATTTATTTTGACATTTGTTTGAAAGTATGGAGAATAGAATGCGAACCCATGGGGATTCAGTTAAAAGAGAAGGTGTTCCTTTATAACCTATCCTTCACAGATGACCAGGTCATCATTGCACAGGACGCAGAAGATGCTGGATATATGTTAAGGAAATTAAATGAGGAATATCAGCAGTGGGGACTAGTTATTGATGCAGAGAAAACAGAATACATGACATTCAATAATGAGGGTATAGAATTGAATCCAGAGGGATTCTAAAAAGAATTAAACATTTTAAATATCTTGATTCCATAATTGAAATAGATGGTGCATGTGATGTGAAAATAAAAAGAAAAAATTCAGATGGCAAAAAGACCATAGAATGCTTAACTAGGTATTATGGAACTAGAACATTATCTCCAAAACAAAAAAAACCATCTACAATAGTATAGTACTGAGCATTATGATATCTAGGTCAGAAACGGACCATAAAAAGCAGCCTCAGGAAGAAACTTCTAGCCACCGAAATGGACTACTGGAGTGGGAATATCCAGAATGGATAAAGTCAGAAATATGACTTTCAGAGAACAGATGGAGGCTAAAAGAACCATTCTGGAAAAGATTGAGATAAAACGCCTGAACTGGTATGGACATTTGAAAAGAATGCCTGAAGGAAGACTACCCAACGAAGTCCATTTACAGAAAACTAGGGAAAGAAGAAGACGAGGAAGACCTGGGATAACAAAGTGGGGGAATCCATGATGGATCATGGTCTATGGGAAGAATGGACCTTAGGTAGAATATTATGGAAAGAAGCCATCCAAGATTTAGGTTAAGGAAACGCCTAATAAAAAAAAATAAAAAAATTATTAAATGTATTTATTATTATGAACTTAAGATATTTTTTAGTGTTTAAATATTATTGTAACCTTTTCACTATTTTAAAAACCATTGATTAACTTTTTTATTAACAATTGATCAGATTCATAATGTGTTTCTCCCTTTTCCTATCTATCGCTATCCTCGCCAACTAATCTTCCCTGGGACAAGTGTCTGAACTCAGCGCTGAGTTCATCGATAGTAATGTTATGTTCACTTTAGAGATGGAATCGCTGAGTTTAGGAACTTGCCCAATCATAGTGGAAATAATGGTTTACAACTTGTCTGTTATTTCTAAAAAGATGTAATAATCCCTAATCTCACTAGCATAATAATTACAGTTATGTTTTACTATATATATATATTCTTTTTTTTTTTGGCGGGGTTTAGACCGAAAGCTCTCCTCTCCCCCGTCCCCCCGAAGGTCCGCCTGTGCTGAATCCTGTGTTACTTTACAAATAACTATACTAGGCTGTATAAATGGTATCACTTTTGAAAATTTCATGTGCGATTATTGGACAAAAGAATTTACGCAGAGATAAAAAAAAAGTGTTACAAAATTAAAACACGAATAAATGAAATTATAAACATATCAGTATTTTTTAGGTCAATGGTTTTAATTTATACCATCAAGCAATGAATGTAAATTCCATTGCATTCACGTGCTAACTACAAGGTAGACGTAGGTAGTAAACATGAATAATTCAAGAACATTATAATATATAATGATCACCATTGGATCTTCATTGACGTGTATTTATAATTGATATCATAATAATGTCAAGATAAAATAATGCTATTCGTAAACAGAAGCCATTAAATAATGCCTTATATTTAGAGGTATCATTTTTTAAATTTATATGTTGAAGGAAATATATATATATATATATTCCAACAGATTAGTCACCACAGACAAAAAAAAATCGTAAATATCAAGACTTCTGTTAGAGTTAACAACGTTATACCATCTAGAAAATTTAAAAATAAACCCACTAATTACTTCTTCAAATGTCTTATATTGAAAAGCATCATAGATGGTATACAAGATCTTGGGCTTAAATCGTCTAATGTAAACAGCAAACAAAAAACAGTCCTGCTTGATACGTGGAGGATTATAAAAAAAATTAAAATTAAAATTTAATTTATGGGTGATAAATATTCAGGAAGCAGTCATTATAAATTTTTATTAGTGCCGACTTTTCAACTCAAACATGCGGGTCATCATTTGGGCGTGTTTCCAACATTGAAGATATTCAAGTACTTGTCATGAATATTTATCACCCATGATATGTAGAACAGTCGACTAACTACCTTCAATAAATTCAATTTAAAAAAAATTATTCATCTACATCCCCTTGAGTTTTTTCTGGAGTGCGGATGCTATTCCAGAAATCTGAGGAAGTGAAGGATGTAAATAAAATAATAACATTCAAGTTGATAAAATCTCAATTCATTTACTTGAAAGATATTAGTATTTTCAAATTTATTTATTTTAAGCCACTTTACACCAATTTTTAATTTGGTCAACTAAATGGCTACAGAATCTTATTACAACGTTTCGGCACGTCGAGTCATTTTCAAGTCCATCATGTACCTATATGAATAATGTTCATTATTCTTCTTGTGTGAATTACATGTGTCTTCTCAAAATAACTGGTACCACGATGTACCATGTAATTTACACAAGAAGAAGGGACAGGTACATGATAGACTCGAAAATGGCTCGACGAGCCGAAACGTCGTAATAAAATTTTGAAGTCATTAAGTTAACAAAATTAAAAATAGTTGTAAAGTGGCTTAAAATCAATAAATTGGAAAATAAATATTATGTACCGAAGTAGAAGAGAGAAATATTGGTATTCGATTTAAATTTTAGTATTTCTTTATTAGGTATAAGTGCCGGAGGGGTAAGGCACTTTCTTCCTCTAAATATTTTTTGAAGAAGAGTCAGCCCCCTCTCCAAGTGGATTTGAAAAACTGAAGAATTCTTGAACTTTCAAGAACTGGACGACCTATATATGCAATTAAGTTTCATTAAAAATATAATGACCTTATTTCATAATTTCGCGGTTGATATAATTATTAAATAAATATCATACCAAGACGAGATGGAGGAGGATAGATGATCAAAAATACAAGAATTTTCAAAAAATTCAACGCTGCTGGACAACCTGTATATAAAATTAAAATTATAATGACCTTATTTGATAATTTTGAATGTGTGTATATGTAAATACATTTATTTATATAAATTACTTTAATACAAGTCAGCTGATTCTAGGGATAATTAAAAAGTACAAATTTAAGCCACTTAATCAAATATGCTTTTAATATAAAATTTTGACATTTTTTTCATTTTTACTAAAATGCTAAAACCCATAAAAATAGTAAACGTGTTTATTTTCAATATTTGATATTCAAATGTCGACACATTAATAAAAAAAAAAAAAAATCAATTACATTCTTAAATATCAATTTTTTGGTTACATTATAAAATTGTATACAAAACAATAGCTAATAAAAATCATTACTGCTACAATCTTACAATAATATAATAGTTTATTTCTTAATAGGTATTTTTTGTTTTTATTGTTTTATATAATATAAAAATCCAACAAAAATAGACTATGAATCACCATGCATCACATTAAAAATAAAAGGAACAATATAATATTTATTATAAAAAAATTAAAACTTTCGTAGACAATTTTACCCTTAAACCTTTTCTAAATTATGAACAGATCAAAAATTTTAAGTTTTAAATGATCATTCTTAACAATAAAAGCATACAGATAAAAAGACACGAGTAAAATTAAAAAACAAAAAATATATATATATATGTAAGGTATTAGTTTTATTAAATAATATTTTACATTAACATACATATTATAAATTAACTTAGGATTGGGTTGATTTTTGGCTTTATAATCAGTCATATAATTCTACACACAACATCTATTTTGCTCAAGGAAAACTTTTTAGATATCATTAAAAACCGCAGATTAAAAAATTAACATATTCTTTTCTTCTTTGCTTGTCTAATAGTTAGAAAAGTTCAGATCCAGCAACTAAAAACTAAATAGAACAAACTTTCTGTCAAAAATGTTGGAAAAAGTATAGTCTATCACCTGGAAACTAGTTAAACTTAAAATCCCTATTAGTTACAAGAAAACATCCTATTCTTTATAAGATATTGCTTTCCGTATTCGGACAGATCTTCTTTTGTCGAGGGAATCAGCTGAAAAATTTGAATGGAAATATATCAAACTTAAGAAATAACTTATTGGAAACAATAATAAAAATATGTATATAGTTATATTTAACTATTTTCAATAATAAAATTATAATTGTTAATAAGGATGAAAAGTGATCAGAATGTGCTGTTAAAAACATATGTTTATTCAGTTTGCCAACGTTTCGATCCGAACACCTGGGTCATTAGTATTTAAAATTAAAAAGAACAAAATTACATAATGATAATAAAAACATAAGAAAGTGTTTTTGAGTTCTAGATTAATGAAAAAGATAAGTATATCAAAAGTAAAAATAAATAGACCAAATTATTAGTGTAAATAAAACAATTCAATAAATTAAAAAAAAATGCTGCAAATTATTTCACAATGGTTTATTATTTCCAAACAATTATACATCTTAAGTAACATTACCTTCCCAGTAACAAAGAAAAATAAATAAAAGGTGATTCCTGTTATTGGCTTAACATTTTTTTTCTTCATTAGTAATTACTAAAAAAAATAGCATTACTTCAGTAACACTTTCAAAAATCAAAAACCAAAACAAATAATATAGGTAAAAATATCTAGTCACCATATCTTTGCTCCAAATTGTCCGATTTCAACGATTTTTTAGGAAAATTCATAAATAATAAATTTTAAATATCAACACAAAAGTGTATACATTTTGAGTTATTTGGAAATCTAATTTTACAACCCTCCATAACTTTTTTTCCAGCTTCTTTTCGTTGAAGTATGCTATATAGATAAATTTAAAGGGCTTCGAGAAGAAGACTTTAGCCAAGTTTCATTGAAATCGGTACATTTGTTTAGGTACTATAGACTATAGCAACATAGGTTTTTTGGCTGCCATCTTGAAAATAAACGGCAGATAGTAATGTTGATGTAGGAGGATTATCATCGGGTGACCTTAGTGTGGAAGGAAGGGGGTTTGGTAACAGGCTATTTATCAAAAGATATTTTTTAAAATGTCAAAACTAAATGTAAATGCTAAAAAGTAATAAGAATTTTAAAATACTTAATAAGGTAAGCATAGACAAAAATGTTACATTACAAGTAAACCGACTAATATAGAATAACTAATACATTACAAATAAATAATAATTAAAGATATTGGTTTAATTTATATACAATGGTTGAATTGAAACATCAGCAAACTCAATAAACATAATTTTTTCTGATGCACATCCTGACCATTTTTTATGCTTACAATTTCAACAGTCAATTATATATCCAAGTCTAGAACATATTTTAATAGTTTTAGATTTACAAATAAGTTCAACTTACTATTTGTAGGAGACTCTCTCACAGATTTTGAGTTTCTAGAAGAGAGATAAAATATATTTAAATTTAAACTTTCAAATTAATATATTTAAATTTAAACTTTCAAATTAATATATTTAAATAACTTTATAAAAAGTTGAAATGAGAATTATTATTTTACCTGAGAGATGGTTTGGTCCTTTTGCTAATTCCAGCTTTTCGATCTAAAATATTTGAAATATTAAATGGATTTAATGTAATAATTTAAAGATATGAATAAAAAACTAAAACAAACTGACTTTAGCATTAACATTATATCATAAAAATTGCAATATAAGTCAAAACCCATGTCTTACCAAAGTATCGATTTGTGCCAACTGTTTTAAAAATAAATATGGCATTTTATTTTGTGTTTCTTTATTGTATTTTTAATGTGTAAACTTCCTTTTATTTTTCTGTCATTAATTTACATCCTTGGGTATTATTTAGTTAATACTTACCTCTATCAGGTTATTTTCTTTACATGCCAGAATAATAATCCCAATTAGTTTGTATTTTTCTTTCGCTCAGTTAACATGGAGTGGGGTGATAAAGAAAACCGAATAGCTGCGATCTTCTTACACAAAGTTGGAAAATATAGGTCAGAGATTTTCAACACTTTGAAACCTTTGGGTATCAGCCGTATGTTCGTGTACCGCACTATAAATAGATATAATGAGATCCTATTAGTATATGACAGACCTCGACCGGAGCGAATCAGAAGAAATCCCATTCGAAAACAACAAGTCAAGTCTGGCATAGTAAAAAGTGACCTTAGGATGGGTACATTTCGAAGAATGACAGGACAAAGGCTAACCACTTCCCTAAAAAAATTAGAGTGGAAAGATGCAAAGTGCTCCTTGGCCGTTATACCAATCGTCTTCATCGAAATATTTTGTTTAGCGATGATACAATTTTTACAATTGAAGACAAATTTAATCGCCAAAATGATCGTGTGAACGCACACAACTCTAAAGAAGCCCAGGAAGTCATTGGAAGAGTGGGAAGAGGTCATGATAGTTTGGTGGGAGGTTTGCTTTGATGGCAGGACAAAGCTCCATTTTTGTGAAAAAGAAGTTAAAACAGCCGCTAAAAACTATCAGGACGATATTTAGGAACGTGTTGTCAAGCCTCTAAATGATACTCTGTTTGCTGGAAGTCATTGGGTTTTCCAATAGAATTCCGCTCCAGCTCACAAGGCCAGGTCAACTCAGCAATGGCTGCAAAAGAACATCCTAGAGTTCATCTCTGCCTCGGATAGGCCCTCAGGAAACCCTGATCTCAACCCAATAGATTATCGGCTTCAGTCCGAACTGGAGAGGATGGCATGCCATAGAACACACCCTAACTTGGAAAGCCTCAAACAATCTCTGGTAGAAGGAGTTGAGTGCTTTCCTCAAGAAGTGCTACGTGCTGCTATTGATGACTGTTAAAGAATTTGATAATGAACTAAAGGAAACATGTTTTTCACACATTGAAAAAAATTTCTATGAATAATAAAAGTAATATAGATACATATTTAAAAAAATAAAAAGCTCACTTTGTGATTTGTTGTGTTGCGTTTCCTGAGTTGTATTCCCATTCTCATTGACCATCAAGGTTCTGAAATGTGATAAATATTTAATAAAATATGATCACTATATACTTTACATAAGTTGATTACACCTATTATGTAGAATATGCTACAACAAATTTCAACTACCCTTAGCACAATAGGATCATAGGTAAGGAGTAATTTTAAGATGCAAATTATTTTGTTAGCACTAAATTTTAAAGTAAAAGAAGTCTAGAGCAATAATCAGCAAGCAGACTTTAGAAGCTCAAAATTCAAATTCGTCATTCAAGGGGACAGGAAAAATTTATGAGTCATAGTTATATTTTAATTATTACTTTAAAAAATATAATTTATTGAACAATCAATACACCAAAATATATATATGTACATTAATCATATATACATTAATAATTGATATATAATTAGTATGAATTTGAATTAATGAGAATAATCTGCTTGCATTTTTATTATATTTGGCACATAAGCAAGCTTTATATTTAAAATCTGCATCGAGTTAAATATTAGGTGATTGCAACTAACTAGTAAATGTAACTGTTGATTTTTCTTTTTTTTTCAAAATACTTTCTGAAATTCTTATCATATTTTCATTCAATCAAGGGAAATGTTTTTTTTTTTCTGAAAGTATCTGTTCTTTTAATTACATCAAACTCAAGCAATTTGAGTTGGCAATGATCGCAAAAGACTTAATCCATTCATTCAATTTGATCACCTGCTTATAACAAGTTACGATGATGTCAAATCGCCTGAACCTGGTCTTTACATCTCGTCAACATCAATACTCCCTCTGTTATTACTACTACTTCTGCGAGTTAAGACATTTCAAAGACCCTCGCTAATATCCTCAAAGAGCTTTCTCACCCTATAGATATATTGTAATGATTTTTATTTATCGAATAAAAATTCAAAAAATATGTTAGATATAGACTTAGTGGCGGGAAGGACGCGAACCCCACTCCCTAGCTTCAGCCCAGTCTTGCTCCAGCCGTTTGGTCAGGATGGATGCAAAGTCGTCTGTCAGTTCCAGAGCTCTCGAAGTAACACATCTCTACATTAATTAGAAAAGTATATACCGGATGAAGAACACTTTCAGTTGATAGATCAGCCTATGTTTGGAGCTACCATAAAGACAGTCCAATTAAACAGTATCTTATACATTATTTCATAATAATAGATTATATAAGCATACATTTTATTTTATTTTGTTCAGAAATGCTTTATTTATTAAATACAATATCAAGTGTATCTATGTTATTTATTTGATCTTTAGAATCCACAAACCAAGACCTCAGCATCCAGAAAATTTATCATAAACAGAACAATATATATATATTTATTTATTTTTATGTTTCCTTTACAGATCTTTAATACCTTTTGTCGCCTTAACCAGCTATCCCAATCTCTCTATATTTCTTTTCAGTTATCTTCATGCAGCTCTGTTACATCTTTGTTGATTCGGGTTACCTGATGGATTGCTCTAAGCTTCATGCACCTTCCATTTAAACCTCCTTACCTTCATGTCATGAGATATTGAATGACTGGTTTCTGTAAGCATTTCTTTGTTGATACTTTTCCTGCATGCCTTACCTACTTTGATCTCAGATCACTTTGGTTAGGCATGCAACTGAGCATAAGCCAAGATAATTTCTAGATGTGGTATTTAACAATATTGAACTAACTAAATAAGTAGTTAATAAATTTATTAGAAAATACATTCATATCAACTCACTCGTTAAATACAGCAGGGAGGCGTTCAGAAAGTACGATGGGATATTTTAAATTGATGATGTTAGAGTCTGAAAACAAATTGTATTTCGCTTGAGTAAATATCATGCATGATATTAAAAAAAAAATAATGATAACAATTATTATTACTTACAATTTGAATCTTGATTTTCATCATTGGATTCTTCTTTTACTTCACTGACGGTGAATCTAAAAGTTTCATAGAAGAAAATAAGCATTAGTTAGCCATTCAGCAAATAATTTCAGATATTATATGAGCCTTTCAGTAAACAGAATGTCCAACTTCAATTGCAACATTTTTGATTACCTATTAATTTTAGCGATGTTTCTAGTTAGAAAATTTATAATATCTGTACGGACAGTTGGTAAGTTGTTTCCAAAGTAGGTGATTGCAGTGTTAAAATATAGAACTGTGAATAAAAATATAAAATTTGCCACTTGAAACATCACTAAAATTAATAATAAAAAATTATGAAATTGGAGTACGTCATTCTGTCAACTGAAAGGCTCATATATTGAATGAAGGAAATATTTACCACATAGAAATTATAAAGGTGCATTAAAATTCTTTAACGAAAATTGGTACGAACATTGTCATAACAGAGACATATACACGGGGTAGCATAAATAGAGGAAAATATTTATAGGATTTATGGTAGACCTCAAAATCAAGAAAAAATGACTACAATAAGTTATTGCAAAGTTTTTATTTCCTTTTTTTCCATGACTTGAGACGTATTATAATTAATATAAATGCATATGCATAAAAACACTTGAATTGTTGAAAATAATGATTTTATTAGTGATAAATAAATTAACTATTTCTAATCTAGTATCTAGCTCGGGCTAAATCAGTGGCATAGAATAAAATTTACTTTTCATTTCATTTCATGCGCCTTATTTTACAGTAGTCTATGAAAGCTTCGTTTTTAACGTACTCAACTTCATATGGACATGGGTTGATCACATCATTCCTGAGCTTGTTGCAATTTCGAAGATTCATTGCTTTCAAAAGATCAAACAAGTGCTATTTGTTAGTATCATGTTAAATTTTCCAATTATTGAAATAAATTTTCAGTCTCTCACTATCTTGAATTCGGCGGAATTGTAGCTTTTTTTCAGTCAAGCTCATTTAGCAGTTGCCAGGAGGTTTCGGGGTCTGTTCTATATTATATTCCCACTTAACACTCTCTTCTTTGATTCGTCTTTGACGGCCTCAGGGCAGGGTAACCGAGCATTTGCCTAGAGGCACCATAGGGTTGGAAGTGCCTACCACTTATTAGAAATTTAAAAAAGAATACAAAGCATACGAGAAAAATTAATTTTATTCTATTAATAAAGCTAATTGATACTGTAGTCTTTGCGCAAAACGCTTTATATATTCTGCAATATATTTATATGACCTCCTTTCATTACATTTTTTTTGCTAACGACACAATCTCTATAATCTTTAATGTAAATTATAGTTTTTTACATCACAATTTGCTGGTTTTTACAAAAAAGCCATAGAGAAGAAATGAAACATCATAGATTTCATTTTGTGGGATCAGAATATGCGCCAGGACAATATTGATCAGAAAAGCTCAAAACCTCATTTTCTAAAGAAATCGCCCATACAGACTTTTGCAGCGTGGCTGTCAATGTATTCTAGTTACCTAGTGCAATTTTCCCATCATTTTGAATTTAACCTTTGATGATAATCTGAATATTTTGATAATCCGAACAGGCCATGCATTTTACTTGTTCGGATTATCAAGAGCGCTCTATACTAACACAAACATTTTAAAATAAAAATTATAATTACATTCATAAATATACGAACCTATTGCTTAAAGACAGTTCAGTAGCATATTTTCGTTTCCTTGGGCAAACGTTTACAAATACAGATGGGTTCAATAGAATGGACGAAGATTGTGGATCATTCTTCGGCGACATAACATTAATTGTTAAAAGGGAGGTTGAATTTCTTCCATTTTCATTCAAATTCCTCGCCGCTTCAGAAGAATTTGTGCTTTCATCAGCCTGATATTTCAAATTAAAAAAACAAATGATTAGTGATTTCAAGAAATTAGGTATTAGTGCTTTAGAAACTCCTATATTAAAGATAAATACTTATGATTATTAATTATTTTAACAAAAAATTAATAAAGAAGTAAAAATGTTTCTAACCATAAATCTTGACCCTGAAGGTTTTACATCAATTTGACTGCTCCCAGGCGGTGACAAAATTTCATTAGATGTAGTTGCAGATACATTATTTTCTGATGAAGCAACAGAAGAACTACTTTGTTCACTGGATTCAAGATTCCTATTCTGTAATAGTAAACCAAAACTGGTTAGAGTTCTCTTGGAGTTTGGCTAATTATTTGTAAACTAATTTAAAAACTAACTAAGGCGTGTGCTTTAGACCACATGATTGAAATGCAAACATCAACATGGCAAGAATAATAAAATGAAATATAAATTATAAATAATAGCTCATTATATAGAGGATAAAATGCTAAACAATTCTCTTACATTATGCAGGTCTGATTGTTAGTTTGTGAGATATTTCAATCCATATCTTCAATAAAACTCGTTATAATTTGGTTTTCTGAACTATATTTTCTTTTTTCGCCTATTTGACACAGCATCCCGTTAAGACACAATTTTGAATAATATCCTACTCCTACAAAAGAGAGGATGAAATACTGGAAAATTCCATTGCTTACAGTATGCATGTTCAATTTTTAATTTCTGAGATATTTTAATCCATATTTCCAATAAAACTCAATTTGGTTTTTGAGACTATTTTTTCCCTTTTTGCCTCCCTGATACGGCATCGCATTAGGATACAATTTTAAATATACTATTATAGAGAAGATGAAAGGCTGGACAATTCCCTCACTAACTGTATGCATGTCTGATTTTTAGTTTCTGAGATATTTCAATCCATATCTTCAATAAAACTCATTATCATTTGGTTTTCAGCACTATTTTTTTCCTTTTCGTGTCTCTAACAAGGCGTTGCATTAAGATAAAATTTTGAATAATAGTTCATAACAAAGAAGATGAAATTATGAACATTTCCCTTAATAACAATATGCAGGTCCGTTACACAGTGGATACAGCGTTACAAATCAGAGATGACAGCTCAATCTAATTCACTCTCCACAAAAAAAAATATGTAAAATGTGCCTAAAAAAGTTTTCACTTAAAAAAAAATCAAGATTTAGTGCAAGAGAGGTCACCAGTCATCAAAAAACTTATAGAAGTTATTTAATTGTTTGAGAAAATTTAACCAAGTATAAATTTCTACTGTTGGAAGAGGAGATGATCGGGAATCAGTTCTTGGAGGTACAAGTAAAAATAAATTATATTTTTTAGGCCGACGTTTTGGCCTAAGTTCCAGAACAAATAAATAAACAAATATTGAATATTTAATAGTTGACTGTTGCATTATAAAGGAAGGAGATGATCCGGGGTGGCAGTCATGAATAGGCTAAATAGTGGCAAAACTATTTTATTAAAAGCCAACGTTTCGACCCGACTTTGCAGGTCTTCTTCAGGGCTAGAATGGACAAGATACAAAAAGATATAGAGAATTGTGGAAGTTACATAATATTTAGACAAAAAATTATAAACAATGTGAATAAGCTTATTAAAATTATAAACAGTAAGTACATTAAAATATAAACAGAGTAAGCTAAGTAACAAGTAAGTATATCTATCTAAAACAGAGTAAGCTAAGTATATCTTTTTGCATCTTGTCCGTTCTAGCCCTGAAGAAGACCTGCAAAGTCGGGTCGAAACGTTGGCTTTTAATAAAATATTCTTGCTACTATTTAGCCTATTTATGACCACCACCCCGGACCATCTCCTTCCAAAATAAACAAATAGTCCAGTAAAATTAGAAACCTCAAAACTTGACAGAAATTGTTCATTACCCTCCCCGTAACTGGTAAAAAGTTCCGAGGAAGCCCCCATCGGGTTTTGATGGGGGGAGAAGGAGAAGGACAGAAAACTGATATTTTTTGAGAATATTTCAAAAACTATTAGGATTTTTACAAAGATTGCTCAGTAGTAAAATCTCTATAAAAATAATCCTATACATTTTTTTTTCTAAAATCGAAGGTTACAGAAATATTTATGAGATTTATTGTATTTCCACCACCCATAACATTGTGTGTCAAATAAAAAGCAATAACTCTCATAAATATCTCCGTAAACATTGATTTTATAAAAAAAAAAAAAAATGTTTAGGGTAATTTTTATAAAAATTCTAAAGTGCCTCAATATTATACTGAAGAATCTTTGCAAAAAAATTCATAGTTTTTGAGATATTCTAAAAAAAACCTAAAGAAAATATCAGTTTTCTATCCTCCTCCTCCCCCAATCAAAACCAGATGCGGGATTCTTTGGGAATTTTTACCAGTTATTACGGGGAGGCTAATGAACAATTTCTGACAAGGTTCATCTTTGTTTGATGATTTATATAATTGAATATTGGGGTAAAGCTGTTTTTTCCCTATCATTAATGGATTAAAAGGGAAGATACTAATAAACAATGAGTAAACAGTAGACACTAATGATAATATATGTAGAGAAAATAGTATAGTAAAATTATAATACCGTCTACTGTTTTTTCAATATTTATTTGTTATCTTGTCTTTGCTTAGTCCTGAAACATAGGCAAAAAAGAAAATAGATATAATTCATTTTTACTTTGTACTAGCAATGAGTGCAATTCCCAACCAACTTCTCTTCAATAATATTTTTCAACAGTCAACAATTATCCACCATCATGATAAGTAGTTACAATTAAAAAATAATCATCTTACTTCGACAGTCCAAGAACCAACTGAATAGAAGGAATCTTCGCCTACTTCTCTGTTTCTTAAATCTGAAATAATGCTTCACTTTAAAACTTCATTTTCAAATTATAATATTAATATTATATGCCATATTTTAAAGTAAATTATAAACAATAAAAATCTAAAATTACTAAAAAAAAAAAACAATGAATATTTGACCATAACTTGTATTGCTTTAAAAAATACTCACTTGATATATTCTGAGCTACCTGTAACCTATGGCCAAACCTATTTTGGACAGGTTCCTAAAAAAACAAAACAATAAATATTTATTAATATTTTTGTCATAACAATAAGAAATTATTAGCCATTTTACAATAAGATTTAGGGTCAAAATCGATAACCCATGATTTCTTGATTAAGACAACCTGTACCACTACAATCCATTCTTTGGTTCAAAACTTTAGAAGGAACTACTATTACTAGGTCAACGGATGTGCAAGGAGGTGATTTGACTGAGATCATGTTCAACCCCCTTAATAAATTATTTAATTAAGGGTATCCACTTTATAGAGCCTGGGTGTGCCTGAGGAAGGTCTATGGCCGACGAAGTAGAATAAATAATTTATCTACCATCAGCTGAATTCGAACCTGTGATCTTGAGCATTGGAAGTCAGAGTGCCCTACCATTGAGCTATCCATTCCCTAGATAAATTTAAAGCCTTTGGAATTTTATGACACCATGATAAAGATTTTCTTCATTTCATTTTTCATAGCACCTATTCAAAATATTATTTTTTTTATAAATAAATTAATTAGCAGGGAATCACAACGAGTGAGTAACATAGGTACATCTTAATTATATAATTAAGAGGAAAAAAACTTAGAGGTCGAGCGTGACCTCAGTCAAATCACCTATCAATACAATATCAAGATATTGTTTCTTTTTTACTCACTATTGTTTGTAGTGCTACAGATTTTTTAAAATTTTTTTGACTAGTTACCATATTTTCTCAATGAAAAAAAAAAAAGATAATAAATGAAAATGTCTCTTCTAATATCAACGGAAATAAAGTAAATATCGCAAAATCTGAAATAAAGCATGATTAGAAGGAATTTGATTAAGGATGACTGACATCAGGTACATCTTTGCAAACGAATCAAGATATAAGATTCGATAAAATGAGCCATCTTATTATCCCTCAAGAAGTAAGAACTAGGCCTGTTATTTGTCATTCGACTACAATAAAAAAAAAGTTCAAACCATAACATTGTATTAAAAGAAAAAAAAGTCGTTGAATAGCATATGAGCCCTAAATTATCAGAAAAAAATAAATAAACATTGATCAGAATAATTGAATTCTTATTTATTTTTAGAATGTAAACATGAAATACAAATATGACAAAATATAATAAAATCTGGTCCTGAAGTGATATTTAATGGAATTGATTAAAGTTTAATTGTAAACACAATTTTTTTGACTCACTATAAACCTCTTACAAATGTGGCTATAATGAAATTCTAAAACTTTGAAATAAGCTTTCTGTTTTGTTTTATTTTATGAAATTTAAGACTTTTTTTTTCTATAAGATTGATTGTTCACTACAATTATATTTAATCTCAAAACTTACTTTTCTACTCACAATAACATACACAGATTGAATTTTATTAACATAATTTTGGCCAGATACGTTTTCCTTTTATTTGTATATGTTTATTATTCTTAAGGAAGCTAGCCCCAAAATTTAGTTTATTTTTCTTTCTGAAGATTGAATTATTAAAATGCACGGATGCATCTTAAATTAGAAGTCAGAAATTAACTTTATACAATTTAGTCATTTTTTTTTCTGTTGGTATTACAGACCATGTAGATCTTTTGCCGCCTTAACAAGCCTGCTCCATCTCTGCCTGTCTTAGGTTATTTATTTCCATTTATCTGCACGCAGTTCTGTTGATTCTGTCAACCATCTGCTTTTTGGCCTTCTATGTGGTCTTTTGCTTTCCATTGAGGCATTCATTGTTATGTAGAGGCTTCCAGATGGATTGCTGAGAGCTACATACCCCGCCCATCTTAACCTTCATGCCTTCATAGCATGGAAAATTGATTGACCAGTTTCTATAAGCAGTTATTTATTGGTCTTTCTTCTCCATGCGTTAGTACTCTGATCCCAGATCACTCCGATTATCTACAATTTAGTTATAACGATTTTAATGTCAGGTCAATTACCACAATAAAATTTATAACAATGAACTTATTTTCTATTGTTTGAGGTGAGGGTAGGGTAGGGGTTTTAGGGCAATAAATTTCTCGATTATTTTGCCCACTTTATTGTTTGAGTTTTTATTCATTTGTATTTTTCGAATGTCTTGGACTTCTAAAAAATAATCCTCTATGAAAATTCCATTATTCCTTCATTGATCCATTCATCGAATTCCGTACTCCACCAAGTAAAAGGCAGGTCCACTAAAGTAAGATGAATTTTTAAAAATTAAAATAAAACAACCAATTAATTAAATATTCACCTCATACTGTTGCTCAATTACTGGCGAAAGACTAACAGCATCATTTCCTAAACATAACAATAAAATAGATAAAAAATAAGTATTAAATAAAAAAAATTAGTAAACATTAAAAGAAATGTCAGTAAGGACATTTATTAAATATAAGTGAACACAATAACAACTATAACTACAATATTGAATACTCAATAGTTGACCATTGTATTATTAAGAAAGGAGATGGTCCGGGCTGTCATAAATAGACTCAATAGTGGCAAAACTATTTTATTAAAAGCAACTTTAGATCTGTAGGAGTATATTCACAATTGCATATATTATATTATATATTATACTACAACAATTGCTGCCATCTATTTACTTCAGTTTAGGATCTTGTTACTTAGCTTACTCTGTTTATATAACTTATCGTTCTTCATATTTTAATGTTCTCACACCAGACTGAAACACAAGAAACCACTCTACGTTTCCGATTACTTCAGCTCCTACTAGACAAACGACCTAAATTTCCAATTAATTACATAACTCATATACATGACTATAATAAGGCCTATTTGGACTTACGGAGTTGAGCTATGGGGCTCCACTAAACCATCGAATTCCTCTCGTATCCAATTCTTACAATACAAAATCCTTCATAAAATCCTACTTTGTTACGAATAAAACCATCCATAATGACCTTAATGTTTCTTATGCTTTCAGATCTGGCCCAATCCAGATACCTATCCTTCCATAATAAACTTCTGAACCATCCGAATCCTCTTGTTTTCAACCTTGCTTCCTCTTCAATTCCTGATAACCCTCCGAGGCGTCTGAAAAGAAGATGGCACCGTGATCTCCTAATGTAGACATATCATTAGATTACTACCATTGGGTAGTTTCTCAACAAGTGTTTTTACGTCATTATATCCATATGTTCAAATTTACTAAATGTATTTACTTAATAGTACAGTTGTAAATATCATTAAGAAATTTAAAAAAAAATAGTTTAATGTACTTACTGTTTATAATTTCAATAAGCTTATTCACATTGTTTATAATTTGTTATCTAAATATTATGTAACTTCCACAATTCTCTATATCTTTTTGTATCTTGTCCATTCTAGCCCTGAAGAAGACCTGCAAAGTTGGGTCGAAACGTTGGCTTTTAATAAAATAGTTTTGCCACTAATTAGTCTATTTATGACCGTCACCCCGGACCATCTCCTTTCTTTATAACTATAATAATTATTAATTAGAGGAAATATTTAATTTTAAAGACTAAGTATAAAGCAATTCTCTTTAACCATTACAAGATTGATCATGCACAACTTCTAAGCAGTGTTGCCACGCTGTTTATTATGACAAATCCTCGTCTCTCTAACCACGGACATCCTTGTATGCTTGCTCTATAAAAATTTGTAATATTATAGATTCCATGTTATTGTTTTTTCTTAGACAAATTAGATCAGAGCTTCGCTTATTTGTTCAATTTATATATATTTTAAAAAATTTTAATTTTTTTTTTAAGTTAATTGGTCAAGAGGGAAAATGAATTTAATTTAAGGTACAAAATAAATTTGATAAAACATATAGAAAAGAGCTTATATTTTTAGAAACTATTAGAAAACTTTTTATAAAAATTAAAATACCAAAATAAACTTCTAAAATGATTCAATATTCCTACTATTATCTAAAATAAAGGGAAAACTATTATTATGACTTTATCAAAATTTGAAACTAGGTGAAATATTATTGAAATTAATAAATATTTAAATATTTTTTTTTAAATTTTTCTTTATCAAGAAAATTAATATATATATTAACATAATTATTTAAATTGGGAATTAAGCAACTGTAGCTTAATATCTGTGCTAGTGGACGGTGCTGAGGCTGTCGGTGTGTCCCTGGCCTGAGGTATCGAGGTCTACATTTTAAAACATTGAAGAGGATCCCATTGTTAACTTAAAAAAAAAAAAATGGAATCGAAACGTCGAATAAACAGCAGGATCAATGAACATTTCATAGTTTATTTAATAATAATTAAGTGACCTAATTCCCAATTTAAATAATTATGTTAAAATATAATACTCTAAAATATAATATATATATATATATATATATATATATATATATATATATATATATATATATTATATATATATATTATATATATATATATATGTATACAAAATATATATTCTCAAAATACACACACACACGTCTGTGAGTGGACGGAGCAGGTCCATGAGCAATGACAGTTTTATGAATGAAATAATAATCATACTTCATATTTTCATTTTATACTCGATTTTTTTAAATATTTTTAATTATCGAGAAATTGTGTAAAACTATGATTGTAAATGTACCTATATACAATCATAGTTTTATGAAGGAAATAATAATCTTACACTATTCAAAATAGATATAATTGCAATTTATTTGTTTAACAAAAGTTAAGCATTACATATTAATATAAATAATAATCCAGTAAAAATAATTTTGAAACAAATCTAAACTTATGTATGATGTGCAAGGATCAACTAACTCTCGTACAATACATTCAAATTTCATACAAATACGAGGATCCTAGTACATACGGCAACACTGCTTCTCAGGCCTCCTTGATTAGGATCTTTTTATATTGTGTTATCATTTCCAAAATTTACACTACAGTAGCAAATAATATTAGTAAGTATTAACAAAGATATGATTTATAATTAGTTGTAACAGAATTTTGGTTAATTCTTGTTAGAAAAATAGTAAAAAAATAAATAAATAACATTACAAACCTGGAGCATACACAATATTGGGATAGTCACTGAAATTCAGCCTTCTAAGTTCAACTTTGGGATTATGAATAACATGGCCGCTAACCATTGGGCAAATAACTGCGCTCTGCTTAGGAGACAACCTACTTCCTGTGAAAGAATGGGCCATTTATTACATCAGACTTTTGTGTTAAGTATAATAAATTAACCATAGATTTATGAACATGGTATAATTTTATGTAAACCCACCATTAAGACAGATAAAATAAAATAATGAAATACGAATTAGAAAAAAATATTTATATCAATACTAGGGGGGTACCCTCTCTCCGCCTAACGGAGGACTAACCCCTATATTACATAACGATTCATTTAATTATACTTTACTCATTGCTCTAATTGTATAACTGTAATTTACATGTATTCTGTATCTGTAGTTTAGATTTTATTATTTTTTATCAACATAAAATAAATATGATGAAACCATAGTTCAGACAAATTTTTAATTTCTTAAAAAATCTATATAATATATCATGCCTTATTAGCAATTTATAATCATAATAAGGGAGAAATAATTCTGGGAATAAGAAGCGTGGTGTCTTCCTTACAGTCCCACTGGTTTCTTCGGCACGGTCCGTCCCGCTTTGTAAAATAATACATAACACAATCAAAAATCTTTTTTTTATATAATAAAGATAAAACTATATAAAAGACTTGGAATAACGGACCGGGACTGTCTGGACAGAGAGGGGTATGGTAAGAGACTAAAGGAGATCACGGTTCTTGCTAAGAAGAAAAGTTCGAGAAAGGGAGTCGCGTGGACGGAGGAGAGAAAGCGGCGGCACTCGGAGATAATGAGAGAGAAGTGGAAAGAAAGGAAAAACAAGAAAGAAGCCAAATGTCATGATATTCGCTATTCGCGTGGTCTCTATGGCCGTTCCGTGGACAAAAAAAAAAAAAAAAAAAAAATTAAACATACTAAAGAAAAAAAATATATAATTTTTTTTAATACTAAAATATAATACTAAAATATATATATACTTTAACACGACTTTTAAAATTTAAAAAAATTATTTTGTTCTAGTACTGCAGACACCTTCTGACATGGATATCATTATATCAGCCATAAATATAAAATATGATATTGGTAGGAAATTTGTGAAATGTTCTAAAAAACTTTTGGTTTAAACGTTTTAAAAAACTCTATGAAATATAATTACGAAAAGGTATAAGACTTGTAAAATGCTAAAAAAACTTCCTATATCAGAAAAAGTTGGTCTTTCAGCAAATATTTCATGAGACCTTGCCAACGATTTAGTAGAGAAAAATGCGATGATTTCTCATTTTATGGGCAAGTTTTAATTCATTGCAGCAATTTTCATTTAATTTACGTAAGTCTAACCACATTTTTTTTTAAAGACCACTTACTATGAAACTAGCCACTTATTTTTTTTTACTTTTCTATCTACACTAGGTAAGGAAAGTATTGCGATAGGGTCAAATTTCTGATATGCCGTTTTCGACGAATCAAAGCATCCTGGAGTCCGAAAAACACGTTTTTTATTTTGTAATCTGGGTTAAATGTTAGTAAGATTTATTTTTACCTATAAAGAATAACATAAGCACTCTGTTTTTTAAAAATTTATTTATTTATTAACAGTGAGGTATGTTTATGCATTTCCCATACTTTTTCACATCACTTCATATTAAAAAGCCAAAAACAAATAGTTTATGGTAAATTAATCTCAATCCTCAATAAAGAGGTGGAGGACTTGATATTTATATTTTTTCTGTGTGTTCTAGATTTCTTTTGCCCAGAATATCCACAGAGTACAAGCTTAAAATTTATTCTTTGTAAAGATATAGAAGTTAAAAAATAAAAGCACACAAATTAGCAAGAGACGAGTAGAGTGGATGCTCCAAAGAAGAATAAAATAGTTGGATAAAAATCACAGTAACCAAAAAAAAAAAAATGGAAAATAACAGAAATAGTTAACTAAATGCAATATAAATTACACTACTGGAGAAAAGTTAAGTTTTTATAAATGATATCCCAAGGAAAGGGATTAGGCAGGAAAGATTATTTAAGCTACAAATTAAAATATCTTGAGAAGCAATCCATAACTAATATTGATTAATGTCTTCATTCAAGTTTTTCTGTTTACGCAGGACTATGTTCAATGGGTACTGTTACATCCTAACAGTATTTAAGTTTGCAGAATATTGGGAAAAAGTCCTGACTATCTCATACGACAGTTCATTACATTACAAAAAAATTTCAAAATGGATCAGTGAACAATAAATCCCATCCAGGGAGAAAACTCTTGTTGACAGTGAGAGAATCTCGTGAAATTGTATGTATAGTGGCAAAAAGTCCCATATTATGTGCTCGAGAGGTTTTGGGTCACATCGCATCAGCTTATGGGAAATCTTTAACACCTCAAACCATGAGGAATCGGCTACATGAAGCTGGGCTATAGAAGTAGAGCGTTAAGAAAGAAACCTTTTATAAACGGAAAAAAGACTGGGGTTTGCCCAAGAACATGTAAATAAACCCTACATGTTTTGGAAAAATGTGTTGTTTTCAGATGAAAGCAAGTATAGTATATTTGGATCTGATGGAAAAAATTATGTTTGGAGGAAAAAAAGGAAAGGCATTTGAACATCAAAATCTACAACCCACAGTGAAGCATGAAGGTGGCAAGGAGTTGTTGAACTAGCCTTTATTGAAGGGATTACGAATGCTGGCAAATATATGGAAGTGTTGCGATAAAAGTTGGGCAAAAGTTAGGAATGGAGGACACATATACGTTTCAGCAGGATGATTCCAAGCACATGACCAATAAAACCAATGCTATATTAAGTTCACAAAATGCTAAAAACACCTCCACAATCACCGAATCTTAATCCAATTGAAATTTCATGGGTGCTGTTGGAATTGAAAATATTCTTGTTCTTCTCGGAATGAATTAATAAACAATTTTAAGAAGCCTTGGGAAGAAATTGTACCAGAGGAGACCAAGAGGCTAGTGGAATCGATGCCTAGAAGACCCAATGCTGTGATAACAGCGAAAGGGCACCCGACAAAATACCAAAATTAATTGAGACTGATATTTATTACATTTTCTTTGGGTTAGTTAAATGTATGCATATTTTTTTTGTGTTTCAAATTTGAATATTTTTCATACAATATGAGTTATAAAATTTTACTGGTACTTTTTGTCTAGCGGGCCGGCACGAAACCTCACTTCTTATCTATCTTATCTAACGTCACGTCACATAACCTCCCTCTTCTTATCCCGCCAAGCCTTTGAGTTATTGCATTGTTTAATTTGCAGTTATTCCCTTATTAAACTCTTTACTTTTGGCCCGTTTGTGTTTATTTTTCATTATTTTTAGTTTTTGGCCCGTTTGTGTTTATTTTTAATTTTTTTTTAGTTTGTGGCCCCTTTGTGTTTATTTTTCATTTTTTTTCTGTCAATTATGGATCTTCTTAGAATATGGGATTTGCATGTGAGGAGAGTTTTACCTCAGCAATGGATGTTTGGTAGAGTTTGCAGAGAAACAAATGAATGTTTTATCGTCAAAATAAATGACAGAAAAGCAACAACCTTATTACAAGCCATTAAAGACAATATAGAAGAGGGAACGACCATTTATTTGGACTGTTGGAAAGGATACAACACCCGACAACTGAACGAAGCAAACTATGACCATTTCCAAGTGAATCACCGGTATAATTTTGTCGATCCATCAACTAGGGTTCATACTCAACACATAGAATGATTATGGAGCTCAGCGAAGTGGAGAAATAAAGTACATAGAGGAACTGCCAGACAACACCTCGATTCATATTTGTGCGAATTTTTGTGGCGGCGGGTCCTCTATTTTAAATAGCATAAAACAATTTTGCCTTCCAAAATAAATAACACAAAGTGAAAATAAATTGTACATATGTTGTTTATAGTGTTGATATTTTTTTTTTCTATGTAAATATGTTCTTTAAATGTTTTTTTTTTAAATTTAATTTTGATGTTTTATATGTACATATTTTCTTGAAGTGCTTTTTTATTATTTCATTAATATTTGTGTCGTAAAATAAAAGTATTTTTTTTTGTTATTACATTTGTTTTTGTATCTGTTTACACTTTCAATAATACCAATTTAATACAGTAATACGAAGATATGAAGTAGGAGAAGGCTTATCAATGCGTTATGGGAATTATCAGTGTTCAGGTTATAAACATTGGCAGATAGCAGTCAGTGCCGGCTCGATAGACAAAAAGTACCATTTTACTTTCTGTAGAATTAATGCAAAACGAAATTTCTAATTATTAATAGTTGCTTCATGTTGAAAACATAAATAAAAAGATTTTTGACTAAGAAACATGATGCACGAATACTTTTTTTTGGCCACTGTATGTTGCATAGTTGAACAAATGTATTTAAAAAAAAACTTCTATTTCAATGTGCAAGTCCACAGCTGCCTCGGAAAATGTCACATGCACCTGTTCTACAACTATGATTTGCTCTTACACCTACGATAATGTTTTGCCAGGGCACCTGTGGATTAATGCTTCACAATTATAAAACTATCTAAGGAAAATTTAAAATGCATTATTTTGAAGAACAGTTTTTGAATGATTCATCTACCACGACAATTTGAACAAACAAAAAACAAAAGGACAGACCGTGGTAGGTGTACACTGATGCACCACAAATTGAAATATCTAACTTAGTCAATATGTTGCAACTGATTATTCTATTTTACTGTTAATGAACTTTCAAGAGCGATTTGTGAAACATCAGTGTATGGGACAGCTTATACCTCAAAATATGCATTTAACAAGACAATTCTCCACTAAAGCGACATTACCTTACTAAAAGTTTTATAAACAAAAAACACCTACTTTCTGAGTCTCTTGGGCCAAGTAAATCGTCAACTCTTTTCCCAACTGACAAAGACTCTTCTTGCAGTGATCTTAATAGTTCAACTAATTTGTTGTTCTTTTCCTGTAAAACACCAGGCAGTATAAATAAATAAATTTTAAAAACCCAACAAGGAAATGTACCTTTATAGTACAAAAATAAACAACTGAATTGAACTACTACATCTTTACCCCGGACGTAAACAATATTATCTCCATTTTTGTATTTGTTCATGGGAGCCAATGTTCCAGAACTTTGAGCTATTAAAATCTGTTTCTTAGTTACTAAATCTGTACACCAGAGGTAAAAGACACCATATCACATTTCTCTATCTGTTTCAAGGAGCCGATTTTCCATAACTTTGATGTACTAAATTTTGGTCACTAAATCGTTTAATAAACAAAAATGGCCATGGTGTTCTTTACCTCTGGGAAATATTTTAATTTATAAGTGTCACTTCCCTGTGATGGGTGGGTAGAGATCTTTCGATCATAATATAAATCAAAATAAGAGAACGGCCGAATGTAGACGGATGACTGAACCGTCTGGTTAGGTCCCGATCTCAATTGAAAAGGACTCTTTACAGATTTGTGTATTCCTTTTTTAAGTGAGCATAGCCAAATTCGAAAGAAACGATTTAATTAAAGCTAATCAAGCCCCCCAATTTGAACTAAAAAGGAGAACCAACATTTTGAAGATGGTGTAATAGAGACATAACCTAACCTCATAATTCACAGGGTTCAGTTTCAGTGAAATATTATCTTAAGGAGTTTGTGAAAGCTTTAAAATGCAATCAAAATAAATGAAGGTTGCATCTATGAATAAGATAATACTGCCCCATTAAAGAAACACCATTTATGTGATCACAAAAGGGTTGTGGCTATCCATCAAAGTGGAGAAATATTTGTAAAGCAGTATCACAGGCTCTTCTAAGATTTGAGAGGCGGATCATGAGGAATTTCTTAAGAGCAATCTGCTTAAATGGAATCTAATGAGAGCAGACTTAAGCTGAGTAAATGGAAATGTTGATGTGGTAATGCTAATTAAAATAAGCTATCCAAGATAGGCATCATGTCAAAATCATACCTAAAGAAAGATCAGGCTCCAAAGAAAATACAAGGGAATTTTCAACTTTTAAGATGGAGACACAAGTTTATTTATAACTTTAGCATTTGTAATTAAATAATTAATAATTGTCCAACATAATAAAGCAATAACAAAAAGTGATAAAGATATTTCACCAGTTGTCAAAATAAACTCAAAGTTTTGGTATATGGCACACCTACTTTATTAATAATTGCAGAATTAAAATTAAATTAGCAATATAATTTAACAGTGACATAATACTAGTAATAAATAGAAGCAATGTACTACAATTTAAATACCATCAAAGAGTTTTTTTCCATGATCATATCGTAAAGTTCTGCTTTAAGACTACAACTTTGTGATGCAGAGGTAGCGATTTCTTTTTTCAATTGTTGCAAGTTCGTTACCAATTCCTTATTAATCACCTTCATTGAAGCGATTTCTAAAAGATAAACTTAATGAGTACTCAAAGTGATTGGAAAGTTTTTTTAATAAAAGATATTATATTTATACTGACGCTTTTGAAGAGAGGCAACAGTTTCTTTAGAAGAGCTAGAGGATTTACTATCCTTCCTTTTATGGCTCATTTTGAGATGTTATAGTTTTCTTGAAGAAATATGAGATGTAATATTTAATGAGATGTTTGAGATTTAGATAATCATAAGTTATGAAATCTAGTGTTAATTTGAAAATAATAAGATAATTTCAAAATCTGACAAATTAAACAATTACTAAATTATAAATAATAATCATCCATTGTTAATCCTACATTTCAAAATAAAAACATTAACCTATTAAACGTCAACAAACCCAGAACAAAGGTAACTAGTGGTTGTAAACAGTGTAGGCAACTAAAGTTGAACAAAGATTTTCTAAATATTACAAAATAGAGAATTCTAAAAATAGATAATGTGAGTAAAAATCATTAAATATTAACATAATTATTAATGTCTGACAATTTTTTTTTTTAAAAATGTTTTAATTGAAATTCAGTTGCAATAATCTTATTAATTTTATTTCAAGATGATTGCATTACTTTACAAATCCTTATCTATTTTCTAAATGAAAAAATATAACTGGATTTAATGCGGTATCACAGTATAAATACTATTGTTCAAAGAATAAAACATTTAAAACCTTAAATTGTAATTGATAATTTTAATAAACAAAATAATACATGAAAACTAGACTAAAGCACAGCGTAAAAAAGTTTGATTTCTGATAATTAGTAAAATTAGAATGGGCAAGTTCCTAAATTCAGCGCTGACCCATTGATGGTTTCCTGATACTCATCGGTGATCTCAGAAATAAGTTTAAGAACTTGCCTAATGCATTTAAGTAATTAGAATTGATACAAAATGGCATAATGTAGTTAAATTTTAATCTTCCTTGCCAGAATTAGATGTTGGTTCACGAATACGAACACATTATTAATGTATAGATTAAAAATGCCCATAAGATGACATTTGTCACATTAGATTATATATTTCAAGCAATATTTCACGCGCAGTCGCAACACCATGTCCCGGTCTTTCGGGCTGAAGCCACCCTCCCTCCCCCCTAAAAAATGGTAAAATATAACCATGTTATAAGGAAAACAAGACACGAGTGACACTAAGTGAGTGACGGAGACACTAAATAAAGTTAGAATCGGTAATAATTTGTCCGAAAAATTTCAGGTTCGTTCGGGCTTAAAACAGGGGGATTCCCTTTCGCCTGTCCTGTTCAATTTGGCATTAGAACATGCCATTAGGGAGGTAATGCGAACCGAGAAAGGGTTGGATCTGGGCGGGACAACATCCGTGCTGGGCTATGCTGATGATCTGGTACTGTTAAGCGAAGACGTTGAAACTATAAAACTAAATACGACAACGTTAATGAAAGCCGGTAAAGAACTAGGACTCGAAATAAACGTGGATAAAATAAAATATATGGTTAGCTGCAAAAATGGCGATACTACTGGTGATATCGATATAGATGGTAATATGTTTGAACAGGTAGATAAATTTAGGTATCTAGGTTCTACGATAACTAGAAAAAACGAAATTGAAGAAGATATTAAGGTTAGACTGAAGGCGGGAAATGCTTGCTATTTTTCTGTGACAAAACTACTTAGTTCGCGCCTCTTGTCCCGAAACTTAAAAATTAGAATCTATAAAACAATTATCTTGCCTACAGTTTTTTATGGATGCGAAACTTGGCCGCTTACATTAAGGGATGAGCAGCGTCTTAAGGTTTTTGAAAATAAAGTATTGCGTAGAATATTCGGACCGAAGAAGGATGAGTTACCCGGAGAGTTCAGACGGTTACACAACGCCGAATTGCGTGATCTGTATCCGGGTAATATAATTGAGGTAATTTCATCGCGGCGAATCAAATGGGCTTGTAAAGTTGTTGGGCTTAGTAACGAGAGAATTCCTAAAAGGTTAATATTTGCTGTGCCGAATGGTAAGCGTCCGAGGGGTAGACCGAAGCGAAGGTGGGAAGATTGCATTAAAACCGATCTGAAGGGACTGGGTTTGGACGGCGAACGGTGGAGGGAGGTGTGTAACAAGCGATTGGTGGTCGGCATCGAACCTTCGGTTTCGCTAAGCCTTATTATTATTATTTATAAGGAAAACAAAAATTTTAAAATTATCTCTTAGAGTATTATTGTATGTGTAATTACTTAATAGGACTTCAAGAATCACTTAAACGCCATTTCGTATAGATAGTTAGTTCCTTTCTTTTTATTCAAAACAATTATCGCTGAAGCCCCCCCCACCAAAACTAAACCCTGGATCTGCTAGTGGTCACAGGTCCTGCAGATTGGAGATATACACTAACATTCAGATACTAGACTCAGACCTCTCTCTACACCGGTCATTCATAGCACGTCTCTCCTAGAAAGCAGCCCGGTGGGGATGTAGTTCTGTAGCCGGGAAGGTGGCAACCCCATCAGCAGACTAGATACGTGGTTTAAGTTGAGAGCCCCACCAAATGAATTTAAACTATATATAAAAAAATAAACTTCAAACAATCTTCGGATCTTCCACATCAACGGAAACAACACCACAAAGATTTAGGTAAATATATGATTACATACAACCGATGGCAGCGGAAATCGACCAGACCGTTCCTGACCGGCAAATTCCAAGATGGAATTCACTGAGTTCCTTTAAACATGGATTAAATCAGCGATGATTTAACGGTTTCAATTGTTTAGGACCTCTATCAGGCCTGTCCTAACTTAAGATTCTGAGTCCTGGACTCCCAAAGTCCAGAGGAAAACTTGTAATTTTTGAAAGGAATAGGGGTGCCCAGAAGGGGTTGTTTCATGGCGGAAGTTGCGCCATCAAAAGTTTTGAGGGGCTAATATTTTGGCGGGTTTCTAACTTTTCGACGGGGGAAAAGTTAGGTTCTTGCGCCATCGACCTTGGGGTGACGGGCATCCCTGGAAAGAAACATTCTTCGCCGCATATCTGGAACTGGTACAACAGTAAGCCTAGGACTTGCTGGACAGATGCTGCTCAAGATGGATTGATCTGTCGAAGATTTATTGAGAAGGCAAAGGACCGGTCTGTATCGTTGCGGAGTAGTAGTAGCAATGGATCCATCGGATGTTATTCCTTCATACAAATTTCTTCAATGTGAAGTTTTCCTCAATCCCAACCTCTTTCCTCAGCAATCCTTCCATCTCTGCCGGTCCATCGCTCCCTCCTCCGATAGTTCCCTACCAGCCATACTCTCCACTACTCTATTCTTCCATCTAAATGGGAGTATTCCTCTTCTTCTTCTATCCTTTGTCTCCTAATCTAGAATTAGCTTTGGTGTTTTATTGTCACTCATTCGTCTAACATTAGGATTTTATTAATTATTTATTACGGTCTGTGAACATTTTATTCACCACACACTTCACATTCACACCAATAACTTTCATGACAGACTGACTCTAAATTCCAATCCACTTACTCAAGCTCTATCTACTGCCACGAATCCATATAATCCGCCCAGAAGACTGCTGAGGCGCTGGCCAAGAGACTTATTGCATTGAGCTATTTGCTGCATTATCTTTTTTTTTTTTTTTGTGTTATGTTATCTTATTTTCATTTTACTACTTTTTTTATTCTTATTTTTTTATTTGCTAACATTTATTCTCCTTGATGTCATATTTGTTAAATACCGAAGTAGATGGTAAATTGATTGTGCGCCAGGAATATGTGTAACTAATAAATAAATGAAGTGTTATACTCATATTGGTCTTAATTAATTTTATGGTTATTTCATTTTTATTTAAAACTCATTAATGGTTTTATGTATGGCTTAAAAAGCGATTCAATAAGCTTATGGAATGTTCAAAGAGATGATTAGAGTAAGCTTTCATTGATAAACTCAAGTTTTTAATACAGGTATGATGTGTAAATGACCGTGGAAAAGAATAACTAGATGGTCACACCAAAATAAATAGTTATGTTTGAATTGAAAGTATACAATTCAAAACATTTTAATTAAGCTAATACTGGTCCGATTTGAACGATTTTTTTTTTGTTTTATAGGAAATTTAATGACCTTCAAATATATTACTTAAATTTCTTTTCTTCATAATTTTTTTTCTTGCTTCCTCTCAGGAATTCTAGATATATGAAAATTGGAAAGGCCTTTAGTAGAAGACATTGAAATTTGGCAACTACAGTTTTGACTGTAGCTGGGCCATTAGCGGATCCAGGATTTAATTTTGGGGGGGGGGGGAGGTTTCAGCCCGAAAGGTTATTTTTTTTTCATATATATATATATATATAACGATAATTACTTTGAAAAACAAAAGAAAGATACTAAGTATCTATATGAAATGGTGTTTAAGTGATTCTTTAAGTCCTATTAAATGTAATTACACGAGCAATAATAATTTATGATATAATTTTTTATATTTTTTTCCATAAAACATGGTTACATTTTACCATTTTGGGGAGACTTCGAAGCTAGGAGACGGCTCGAAAGCTCCCCCTGCTCTCTCGTAGATCCGCCTGTAGATTGGACAATTGTTTAGAATTAAAAAAAATAACAAAGCGTATGAGAATAATTACTTTTAGCCTGTTAATAAAGCAACTGAATAAAATAAATATTTTGCAACACGAAGGTAAGTCGCCATTTATAAAGGCTTAATATCCATAATGTACAAATCAGATCAGGCCCTCACATTCTGGGAGGTTAAAGTGACGACCCCAATTATGACTACAATCAGAAAGTACTTCTCCAAACTTGCTGAAATTAAACACTTTATTCAGAAATATTACAATTTGTCACAGTTTAAGGACACTTATAATAGAGTTCAGAGATTGCATTCATACCGTATATACAAAAATATAAATAAATAAAGTAATAACAAAAGAATAAGAAAAAAGAACAAAAGAGTAAAGAAAAAAAAAATATATATACATAAGTAAATAAAAATAGAAATAAAAGTAAAACAAACACTTTATATAAAACATACCTATATACATTATTTACAATTTGCCAGGTGATCTCCGAACCAATCCTGTCCCCTCCACATGTGGAGGGAAAAGGGAGGCTAAGGAGTTCTCTACGCTTCTCCCTCAGCCACTACACTGGTATTTTAAACCAGCGGAGGATGAGTAAGAGCGCTACAGCCACAGACACTCATGACTTCAGTGGAGAATCTGGCCATTGCTAGAACTCCAAAATATCCATATTTACAAAATCTCCAAACTAGCATCGCGATTAGAAAGAACATGGGTTCTAACAGAATGCCGTGTCTCATGAGGCATGTGGATTTCAGAGTTAAGCTTTTGGTTTAGTAAACATGGTTAGAACTTCGATCTTCTATGTCCCAGTAGTGACCAACCAGAAACCGCCGATCACATCGTTGAAGTCTACACCATCTATGAGGCAATGAGAGCCAAACTGCTGAAGAACAGTGGGCTCTACGTTCAGATGGAGAGCGGGTTCTCACAGCTGATGACAAAACAGAACTAGTCATACTGTAAGAAGTTCGTGTGCGGATGGAAGTTGTGTATCCCACCTACACTACTTCTTAGGAGAAAAGCAATTGAACCAGAGAGGTCGTCTGAAGAAGGTAAAGAAAAGGACAATAGTCAAATCGAAGAATTACAAAGAGCTGTTTGCACAGCATTTTATCATAACGTAACTAGATTAACTTGGAGAAAATTGAAGAAAAACGTTTTTGAGAAAATTGTGAAAATGTGTTTCAGCGTTAATATAAAGTGGCACTGGTTAGCTGATTTTAACGAAAAAGTTGCTGTGACATCCAAGGCATATACCTAACTTAAATACGTAATATCAGCTTCGTACGACTTATCGTTTTTGGACTAGAGTGTTAACATACACACAGACGCACAGACCATTTTTCGGGACTTGGTTATTTGGACTCAGGTCACCTCAAGACGTGTATTTTCGTTGAAAACTCAGATTCGAAATGTTTCACGATTTGAATACTTAGTACTTGCCCAAGACACATTTGTTTAGTTAAGAATAACCTTGGTTCTTGGTTTTGGTATAGAGGTTGTATATATATATATATTTTTTTTTTTAAATTAAAAATATAAACAAGTTTCTTCTAATATTATCCAATGTGCCCAAGGGGATCAAAGAGGTATTCTCCTCCATTTTTCCCCTCTTCTCAGGGGTGCCCATTCTTCTCAAGTTCAATGGCGCATGAACCTCTCCCCCCTCCTCCCAAGACATTTTATTGCTCTCCCCTTCTTAAAACAGTGCAAACTTAAGTATAATTTTAAAAATCACAAGTCATATACAATTACACTTTCATTGATCTGTTCTGTGCTTTTCTCCTGTCTTTCTCTAAGACCGAAGACTGTCAAAGCAATATTAACATTTTTGAAACCTAAACACACGATATGGCAACCAGAGCAATAAGAGTGATCCGGCAAGAATTAATATTTTATCTCGAAAACTATTTATTTTTGGGCTTTAAAACGCAGGTACAAAGATACTACACAGGTTGTTGATATCTGCGTTCATTCACAATTTATCCCACTTAGATTCTTCGACTTTTCGGACCATTTGAGGTCTGAAATATCTCAATTTTTTCTATGATTTTTATGAGTTGTTGAAGGGATTTAAGGATTGAAAATAGGATTCGTCAATAGTTCATGAAATTCCCTTTCTCTTGATACCTCATTCAACAAAATCCATCGTTTCTGATTGCCGGAAAAGGGATATAAACATATTATATGTTAAGTATAAATACCGTGGGCTTATAACAAAAAGTCACCAAATACATTTTTGATATAGGTTAACTTTCAAATATGTGTTTGTTGATTTCGAACATATTTATCGATAAAAAATTCCTCGGATAAATAAAAAGCATTTTCTTATTATTATAGATACAAAAAACACTTGCATTATTGTATTACACTAAGGATAGAATGTTCTGACTTCACACTAAGAAAATTCATCAAAGTTTTTAATTTTTGAGGTTATAAAATGTCACTTAATGACGTATTGCAATAAAGGAACGATATATACTACAGTAAATGAAGATATAAAAATTCTTTTGTGTTGTTTCATTGCGAGTTAATTACAGCTGTAAAAAAACTAAATGTATAATAAAGCAAAATTATTATATTTAAAAAAATATTTTTTACGTAATTCCACTTGAACGTAATAGGAGGCATAACATTGTTGATAAAAGGTTGATAAACTGACAGTAGAAGTTCCCTGTGCACCCCCCACCACGATGTTACGGCACTGAAAGCCGTCAGTCCGGTTGGAGTGGCCGAGGTGAGAGTGTGTCTGTGTCCAACGATCTCTTCAACCGACGTACTCCGATCGTCGTGGGCCATCAGGAAGACATGACATAGGAGATGGTTGGCAACAATCTACCCCTGGAGATCCTCAAGGATTCCCCCAGGCAATTCAACGAACCTGTCCAAGTATCTTTCAAGGATGTCACTTGTTCTGTCAAAGCCAGCTATACTTTCTTCTCTAGAGGTATTTCATTATTTACTTATAATAATATTATGTATTATAATAATATTTAAAAAATATTACTAAATAACAATACAGGTTATTATTCCTTATCACTAAACTATATTAAACATCTATGATGTATCTGAAAAATAACATCAATACAAAAGAACTTTTGAGAAGAATTATCGAGCTCTTGTCACTTGTTCTAACCTTTTTTTTTTTATAGCTAAAACAGCTGATATGAATTTTAAACTCACAAAAAATAATGAATCATTATCACATTTAAAATATTCACTTTTATTTTTTATTTGATTTTACATCGTTGTGATATCTTCATTACTTATTTATTATTGCTTCTCGTTTGTTTCCATAACAGAGTCCCTTTCTCTTCCAGTATTTTATCAATACAGTAACAAAGAAACACCTGTTCAACTGTTACTAAGATGACAGATAGACCAGGTGGACACAGATCTAATTCATTAATTTTTTTAGCTTGCCCAGTATCTTAGTTTTTTATTTATTAATTAACAGAATATTTTTTTCCTTTAAAAATATTACTATACATCTTATTTCTTATCACTAAACTATATTAAACATCGATGATGTGTCCGAAAAATAACATAAATAAGAAAGAACGTTTGAGAATAATTTACGAGCTCTTTCACTTATTCTAATCTTTTTTTTATAGCTAAAACAGCTGATATGAATTTAAAATTCACAAAAAATAATTAATTATATTATAACATTTAAAATATTCACTTTCATTTTTTATTTAATTTTACATCGTTGTGATATTTTTATTACTTACTTATTATTGCTTCTCCTTTGTTTCTATAACAGAGGCTCTTTCTCTTCCAGTATTTTATCAATACAATAACAAAGAAACACCTGTTCAACTGTTGCTAAGATGACAGGTAGACCAACTGGACACAGATCTAATTCATTAATTTTTTTATTGAATACTTAATAGTTGACTATTTATGGTCATAAATAGACTAAATAGTGGCAAAACTATTTCATTAAAAGCCAAAGTTTCCACTCGATTTTGCAGGTCTTCTTTAGTGATAGAACGGACAAGATATCAAAAGATATAGAGAATTGTGGAAGTTACATAATATTTAGACAAAACATTATAAACAATGTGAATAAACTTATAAAAATTACAAACAGTAAGTACATTAAAATATAAACAGAGTAAGCTAAGTAACAAGATCCTAAACTGAAGTAAATAGATGGTAACAATAAGTAATAACATACAAGTAAATAGATGTTAATAAAAGGATATAATATGAAATAATGGACATAAAGGGTCGAAAAATTGGCTTTTAATAAAGTAGTTTTGCTACTATTTCGTCAATTTATTACCGTCACCCCGGACCATCTCATTCCTTATTAATTTTTTTAGCTTGTCCAGTATATTAATTTTTTATATATAAATTAACAGAATATATTTTTTTTTAAATATTATTATACATCTTATCACTAAACTATATTAAATATTGATGATATATTTGAAAAATAACATCAGTGTGAAAAAACCGAGAATATTTTAGCTTTATAACTCATAACTTTTTTTTAAACAGCCAAAACAGCTGATATATATGAATTAAAAACTTCCACAAAAATAATAAATGACTATCATATTTAAACTATTCACTTTTATTGTTTTTATTATGTTGTTTAATTTTATATTCTTATACCATTTGTTATAATTATAATTATTTATTATTGTTTATATAACAGTGTTCCTTTCTCCTTCACCGCTACCTCAATACAAAGTAAATAAAGAAACACCTGTTGTGAACTGTTATTAAGACGACAGGTAGCCCAGGTGGACTTAGATCTAATTGATTCACTTTTAATGATTTTTATTAATGAATTAACGATATAATTTTTTTCCTATATAAAAAAGTTAATTTATCAATTATGAACAAATAGGAACCATCCTTCATTCAAAAAATAATACAAGAAAATAAAATACTTTATTAACAATAAAAAACCTTTATTAAATTATATAATATATTTATTGGTTTATAATATTTCAGTCTTATTTTATTTGGCTATTTTTGAACATATTATTGAAGTTTAGCACTTCAATACTTATATTTTTGTTTTTATTAAAGTAATATAAGTAATTTTTTTTCATTAAGACAAAATCTTCTTATTTCATTCATTCCTTATTGGTACTTTTATTATAAACAACAAGATTTAAAAAAAAAAATTAAATGAATAATCTAATGAAAGTTTAAAATCATAAATATATTTTGTTTTTCATATTATGCTGATCAAATCTTTATCAGCTTACAACACTGTATAAATAATTATTATTGTCATGGAATAATTTTAGTCAACATACAAAATTCGGAAATTGTACTTAATAATGACTATGTTGAACTGATAGCATATAATCCAGATCTGAATAAGAATTTCTTCACTAGTATGGCGATACCGACAAACCAGAAAATTAAAACAAGTCTACAAAACTTATATTAATAAATTAAAAATATCATAAATTTTTTTCTATATTATCTGAAGTGCCAAAGGGATCTAATAATAATTAATCTTCATTGACCTTTTCAATAGAAATTTATTTGTTAGTTTTGATAATTCTTATTTTTTTCGATGACTTTTAATTCGATATTGTGATTCGTTGCTTCATCATGACAGTCTATTGCTTTTGACAGTTCGTTAGTCATCGCTTTTGAGAGCTGGAAAAGGGATTTACACTACAAAATTGTATAAAGAAAATATTGTGTAAGTAGTTAGCACAGAGCACTCTTAGAAACAAAATTGGACTAATTAAAAAAAAATAAAGCGTGTGCTTTTTTAGATCACACGATAGAATTGAAAACATTAAAAAGCCGAGATTAATAAATTGAAATATAAATTATAAATAATAGCTCATTATAAAGAGCATGAAATGATGGACATTTCCCTCGCTTATAGTATGTCGGTCCGATTTTTAGTATATGAGATATTTTAATCCATATCTTTCATAAAACACGTTATCATTTGGTTTTCGACACTATTTTCCCTTTTTCGGCTCTCTAACACGGCTTCGCCTTTAGATACAATTTTGAATAATTGCCCGTTAGTATGTAGGTACGATTTTTAGTTTTTGAGATATTTTAATCCATATCTTCAATAAAACTGGTTATCGTTAAGTTTTGGACAGTATATTTTTCCTTTTCACCTCTCTAACACGGCGTCGCATTAAGATACAATTCTGAATAATTGCTCATTACAAAGAGGGTGAAATGATGAATATTTCTCTTGCTAACAGAATGCAGGTACGATTTTTAGTTTTTGAGATGTTTTAACACACGTCCAAAAACACACCAGAGCGTTACACATCATAAATCTGACGTCTCAATCTAATTTTTTTTAAAAAGTGCAAATTTGTTTTCACTTAAAAAAAAAGTTCCTACTTCTGAAGAGCCTAAAATAAAAATTGGCTTATTACATCTTCGAACAATAATTAGTAAGGTTATCCGATCTTCCGTTTAAAAAAAATATATAAACAAAATATCCAATTGCATAAAAATCCAAAATCTGGTGATAAGGATTCCACGGTAACTGGGACGAACCCTGATAGGCACGTGCGTTATCTCAAAACGATAAATTTTAGGAGTTTAAAGCGCATACCACTAAATAATGGAAACAATTTTAATCACAAATAAATACTCAAATAAAAAAAAATCAATATGTCTTTTATTAAGTGCTGAATTACTGTTCTTTAATGATAAAACATTATCTAGCAATTTCATTAAAAATGTATGCTATTTATTAATGAAATTATCGTACAATAATGTTTCTTCAATGATTAGGCTGATATTTTCTATTCAAAATATTACGAGAAACACTTAATGGAATTTGGGCTTTAATATGTTATTATAACTTGATAGCGACATTTGATAGTAAATACATAACAGAGCCTTATTATGCATCTTAAAATGCAAGATAATATGACGTGTGATCATTAAAAAGATTAAAAACTTTATGTCAGTAGCGATTACACGATTTAATTTTTGGAGGGGGATATTTTTATTTTTATTAACTGTAATGATTCTGAAGAAAACGAAAGATACTATATGGAATTTTGGTGGTTTTTGAAGGTCTTTAAAAAAACAAACAAAATGGTAATTACATATTCCAATGCTAAAAAAAATGTAAAATATCATTTAGATCAGAAGTCTCGCAAAAGTTTCGCTTCTGAACATGAAATAAAAATCAACAATAAACTAACAAATTAAGTAAATCACTCAAAAACATTTATTGCATGTAGTCCGTGGTACAGACCCCTTTTTATCGAATTATTAATATCCATCTGAAACTTCGTAAATAGTTTCATCTCATCGTAACCTACAACTATTTTATTTACGAAAACTCTTGAAATTGGGACGTTTTCAATCTGGAGGGGGGCAGACTTTGTCAATTTAATTAGCTACTAAAAACTCGTGAATACTCATTTGCTTTCAACTTGGACCGTAAGATAATTTGATCATAAAATCGAGAAAAAAGGTGGCCTTCAAAAATATTGAGCCGTTTCGCGTGTTCTACACCCCCAAATTTTCAAAATTACGTGGTTTATATAGGACAAACGGCCCTATTCCAAGAGTTTTCGTAAATAAAATTGTTGTAGGTTACGATGAGATGAAACTATTTATGAAGTTTCACGCTGATGTTAATAATTTGAAAAAAAGGGGTCTGTACCACGGGCTATTTCTTTTCGGAACATGAAATAAAAATCAATAATAAAATAAGAAATTAAGTAAATCACTCACACACGAGGTTAATTCAACATTTATTGTATGAGTTTATTTCTTTTATAAAGCTCATTTCTCAATTGAAGAGTTCTTGATTGAAATATATCTCATTGTCAGTTATAACAAATTTGATAAAAATCATCGTTTGTTGACCGAGGTTTTTGATTTGACCAAATAGTTATTAAAGAGTAACTTGTTCACTTGGATGCTCCATTTAGGGCCAGTTGTACGATTGGAGTTCAATCTGGAACTACA